TTTATTTATTTGAATAAAATGTAACGAAAGACGACGAGAATTAAGCCGTATTATACGTTTGTACATACATCTATCTAAGCCGCTGCCATCTCTAGATCGCTCAAGCACTAGAGGTGCAGTCGGTAATTTACCGCCTATGGTAAACGGCTTGAAAATGTGGTGTCCATCCATTATCATTCACCCTGTATATCGCACGTCGAATAACTTCTTCTGTTACCATCTCGATTTTGTCACCGTCCATCTTGTCTCATTTCGGTTAAATGCTTCTCGAGCGACCTTCCGAGAGGACGCTAGTGGCGGCGCCTCGAGCCGGGACGCCCGACCGACGCTACGATCGCGCGGATGTTCAGCGTTCACTCGATGAAACTGTCGCGTTATCGCGTCTAATTAGTGTATCGAAACGATGATTGCTACTGACGAAAACGATCGAGATTATTGTTAATTATCACGTTTATCACGCGTGTTTACGTGGACGGACTCGTCCACGTAATAGATTCCACGAAAAATCCACGCGCTCAGTAATGCTACAATCGTACGGAGTTCACTTGACGAAACTGTCACCCGCTCGCGCATTACCGTATTATACCGTGATACAGCATGTCCTGCGACAATATGCGACACACCTGATCATAATTATGCACCTTGGCTGCATTTAGAGAGAAAGACACTTGGAACACACGCGAGGACGAGCCCGACAGGCCCGACCGGATCGCCGGTGCCGGCATGTCGACAGCATTACGCGATGATGCACGAGATTTGATACACCACGACGAAAACACGATACTTTACACGACTCTCGCGATAAACTCGCGCGCGCGGACTCACTTTTGAACACTAGTCGACTGCAAAGGTGCAAAGATACTCGCGCAAGCCGATATACGAATCCGATCCACGACCGTCGCTGGATTCGTGTCGTGCTGACTGGAGATCGACGCTTCGAGAATCGCAATATCGCATATCGCGACTCTCGATGGCAGACGCAATATCGCAAGCATCGTGACTCTAGACGGCAGACGCTCAATGCTTAAGTCTTAAATGCACCAATTGCGTCGCAATAACAAATCGGCTGGTTTTACCTGCACTTTTTGCACTCCAGCTGATAAACATGCATAAAATATAATTAAAAGCGAGTTTATTATCTGCGTTTGAGGCGCTATCAACACTATTACATTCGTTCTGCCCTTGGTTTTGTGAGTGGAAAAAATGAAATGACTTGACAGTGCTGATAACGCGCTGCCCGAACGCAGTCGACGTCAGAACATTATTTTGGTTATGATCTACTTGATGCTTGCAAAAATACCTTGATGCATTTCTGTACTTTTATAAACATCGTGGGAATGGCGGCAATCGCAAGAGTCTCGCAAGCAAACGTCGTGCAATCCACGAGAAAACATACTGCAACTATATTTTTCTTCCATGGTTCTGGTAAAGTACTTAATATGATATAAATAAACAAAAGAACACAATTGAATTTTTAAGATAAGATGATGATATCCTTATTGTGACTGCTGTAATTTCATGCGCATTTCATTTTACTTTTACAGGTGGTACAGCAGAGGATTTAAAAGAATGGGTTAATATTCTCAATAGGGAGGAACTGCAGTTCCCGCACATAAAGATAATTTATCCTACCGCACCTTGTCAGCCTTACACACCTAATAACGGAATGGTAATAAGACATATAATTATGATTGACCGTGAAATGCTTGTGACAAGGTTCTTACATCTGTATTTTATTGATATATATATATATATATATATATATTTATTTATATATTAGTTCAAATATATATTCAAAATTTTTTTACAAATGTTAAAGATTTATTAGTCAAGATTTCAAGGTTAAACTCGTATTTCATAACTTTTCGATTATTTAACATAAAATTCATTAAAATAATTTTGTTATAGATGCAAAATATATGGTATGATCGTACAGCAATATCCAATCAAGTGCCAGAACTTGTAGAATCGATCAATTCCATGTGTCAAAATGTATCAGAATTGATTGACAAAGAAGTAGCTGACGGAATTCCATTTAATCGAATAGTTTTGGGTGGATTTTCGATGGGTGGTGGTCTCGCATTGCATTTAGCATATAGATACCAAACAGCTGTAGCTGGCTGTTTTGCTATGTCTTCTTTCCTGAACAAGGGATCCATAGTCTATGAGGTAAATATATATATGTATAATTCAATATTAATTAAATACACTTAATATTATTTTATTGCTTATATTTATTTATAATTACAGCATTTGAAAAAGAATCCGGATCATAATAAAGTACCACTTGCTCAATATCACGGCACAGCAGATGGTTTGATTCCTATTGAATGGGGCGAGGAGACCGCTGAGACTCTGAAGGATCTTGGAGTGAACGTGAAGTTTACGTCACTGCAAAATGTCGATCACGAATTGAGCCGTGAGGAGATTCAAAGTTGGAAAGATTGGGTCCTTGATATTTTACCGGATAAATAATACATAAATTGTTGAATAAAAATATTAGAATTATTGTTGGCCTACTTAGTCTACTACAATCAAGGCCGTAAAACAGCGTGCATGACGTTTTTGTTTTTAAAAATTTGTTATATCTATATGGTAGGTGTTACGTAATAGCAGCAATAAATCGAGTTTTATTACAATGCAACGCAAGCGATGTCAATTGCTGAGGGAGTGATAAATTTAAGAAAGACCCTGACTCCTATGACAAGATGAATCGTGCCATTATGTCAGCATTAGATGATTACATGGCACGTGCATGCCATGAATAATGTTAATTCGCATGATCGATGAATTGGCCCCGACCTTCTAAATATTTAAATCTTTCCGCATCTCATTAATTCATTTTATTCCCTATGTGAATTTTATTTTTTTCTATATTGCAGGTAGTACATTATTTTAGGAAAATTGCTTCAAATACACAAACACTATACTATTTTGTGATGAATTAAAAAAATGATGTTAATATTTATATATATATTTAAAATGATGTTTATATAATGCGCCAAGTTTGCAGATTTTAATCGATTAGATTGAAGAGTTGAAAAGATCTATCGACAGCTTTATAAAAGATTTAGTTCTTAATAAAAATGCTGAAGCTCATCGTTTAATATAATTACGTATAATTACGCAAAATTAGTCCAGATGTTTACTCTCGAAACTGTAAACATCTTCATTATTAAATTTAGCCTTCATTATTTAAATAAAACAGGGAATTTGAATAAAATCGATGCTATGTCCACTTGACCCGCTTTTTACGTGAAACGAACGAGCGTGTTGACATTGTTGATCACTCGCGTTTATTACGTGCTCTTATCACGGGCATTCTTTCACTCAGATTGATATCCATTTTTGACTTTTATGATTTTTCTAAGTACTAATCGATGCTAATTGACAATACGTTTCTCAACTAGATCCCTGAATTGAACAAAATATGCATATGATTTATTTTATGTGAACGAATGTATACATATAGAGTTTGCAATCAATTTTTCAATTTTCAAATCCTGTAGATGACAATGAAATTCTCAAATTTTAAATGTCCGAATATTTATAATATTTGCCTGTTCTCGGCAAAATGCAGTATGTCGACAGTTTGGCAGCGGATGATTTTCATTTGAATAGTGCATATTGCAAAAAAAAGAATCCCAGTAAACACTGCAGATATATATGTATATATTGCAATGCTATTTAATTAACATTTAGTCACATCTATAACATATATATGGCAGATATATATATATATTTTTTTTATTATTATATATATATATATATATTTATATTTTATACATCTATAACATATGTATATATGGCAAATATATGTGTATATATATATATATATATATATATATATATATATATATAATCTCAAAGTTTATTTTTCGGATTTCTTAAAAAAGGAAACGTTAAAAAAATTTATTAATATTTATATATATATATATATATATATATATATATTTGGTGTTTGCTGAAATAACGAAATGTAGCAATAAATTGATATCAATTTTACATTTATGTCTAAATATAAATACAATCTCAATCAAAGTTTATTTTTCGAATTTTTTAAAGAAAGAAACGTTAAAAAAATTTATTAACATTTTTTATCTATTAATTGTAATTTTAATAAAAGTTTTGTCAAATTTTGAAATCATTTGACTCGTCATCTCGCGGATCGTAGATATGTTTGTCAGAGGTGTTTCGCGTGATATTCGATTAATTTTTGGATTCTCAAGGATTCAATCTTTTCAGGCGCCTTTTTACATTGAGGTCCGTCCAAACGGACGCACAGAATAACACGCAGATTGACGCAGATGAACCAATTGAATATTCAAGACAGCGCAGCCATATTGTTGTCACTTTGCATTTCGCGCGCGCGATTGGTTGAGCCTTCCGAACGCGGGCAACGCGCGCCGCGATACGCGCCTGTATGGATAAGCCTTTAAGGTGAGTTTACTCCCGCGATCACCCGCGATTTACGTCGGTAGTATCGGTACATACTACGTGCTATACCTAAATAAACAACTCAGTTTATTTTGACCGGATTGTTGTTTTAAGGCCACTGGCCAGGCAGGAGCAACCAGGAAAGAAGAAGAAGAAGACTCAGTTTATTATTGTTTCAACGCCTCTTCTGCCTACAAAATACACAAGATATTGGCCTCCGAGGACAGGAGCCGTAAAGATGAGGTGTTTGGAGGTGTTATCGGGACGCTTGACCGTCGAAGAAAACTCGCTTCGCGATAACAAAGTGGGTGGTCGCGATCGTGACCTTTTGCCTCCTGCTACTCTTATCCTAGAGTTTCATCGCCGTTCTTATCATTAAATGTCACACATAAGGTATATATCTTTCGTAGAACAGGAGTGGGAGATTCATCTTAAATCGTATCTAAATAAGAGTCTCGATCAAATTTTATTACTTCAATTTCTGATTAAAAAAAAAAAAGAAACAGAAACGTTTAAAAAATTTATTTTAATTTTAATATTAATTTTCGTTTTAATAAGAGATTTATTAATAAAAAGATCAATTCTGAAATCATGTTTTGCTCACTGTAGATTAGATCATAGATATTACATGTTTATAAGAGAATTCTCTTCTGATGATGTAATATGATACCATATTAATTTATTGCTATCTCCTGCTGTTCTTATCTTAGAGTTTCATCGGCGTTCTTATCATTAAATGTCACTTGTGAGGTATATCTTTTGAAGAACAGGAGTGGGAGATTATCTTAAACGTATTTAAATAAGTCTCTATCAAATTTGATTTAATTTCTTATAAAAAAAAAAAAGAAACAGAAACGTTTAAAAAATGTATTTTAAATTTAATATTAATTTTTATTTTAATAAAAGATTTATTAATAAAAAAGATTAATTCTGAAATCATGTCTAGCTCACTGTAGATTATCATAGATATTATGTTTATAAGAGAATTCTCTTCTGATGATTTAATATTCAATAGAGCATGCATTACACTGATTATATACATGAGAAATATTATACTCGTGTATGAAAGTATTACTGCACTCATTGTCAGTCAATCATTACACATTGCTAAAGACATACAGTATTATTTATACATATAGTATACTTGATATATGAAAATATTAAGTTTAGTTGATTTTGTTACATCTTGTCAAGTTTATAGACACGCTTTATGTATGAAAACTAAACATTACTGATTGTGAATTCAAAAATTCGAAGTGTTACATTATTAATTTTGTAATTACATGTTACTTTTATATTAATGCTTTATTAAAAATTCTATTTGATAACTGGTCGCAATTTTTAGGACCATTCTGATCCTTGATGCATAATTGCTCACATCAAAATCCTCAAATTGCAGTCAACACGTGTGGAGATGAAAAATAAACACCTCCTCGACTTTCCTGCCTTTTAGCGTGCGCACCGACAGGGCGACGAGGGTGAGGAAGGTGGAATTGCGCCGACGAGTCCACCGGCGGCGACGTGTGCGCAGTGAGACGAACGGGGCGAACTGCGACGGGATTGTGCTGCACCCCCTCGAGCGGCCTTCGCGGGATGGGGGGTGGATGGGGTAGGTAGACCCCACTGGCCTGGCGTCGTTCTCGCCACCGACGTCGCGTCGTGACACCGACATGTTCACGTTCCGTCGTTAACTCTATATCGACTCGCGAGGGAGATGTAAAACGCATGTTATTAATCGCGGCACGAAAACGCATCTCGCGATACACACGTATAGACACGCCTGACGTGGGGGATCAATGTTCAACGACGGGCGTCCTCGTGGTGAACGGGCATGAAAGGGGAACGAATCGGTGCGTTCCTTGAGCTAAGAATATTACTATAGGGAGAAATCTTTAAAAAGAAAGAAGACACGATATATATGTATACACACACTCACACATATACGTATACACATACAAAATACATGATCCATATAAACATAACGCGGGGTGGAAGCGTGTAATAAAACGTGGAATCGATACTTGCGATGAGAAGTTCTGCAGAGTGAAAACGTGAACCATAACATTTTAGGAAGAGAAGGGAGCGCGGATGCTCGTGGACGTGTAAGTAAAGTGATTATGTGGTGGATGCAGTTTTGAACGCGTGTCGCCGAGGGGTGGATCTGGGTCATCGCGAATGGATTTCTCGACGAGTGGAACGAAATAGGATTTTGCATTCTACCGATTATATTATTGAGTACATTGAAACTGCATTTAGGTCAACGGAGTTGTTTTTTTTTTTTATCAAGCGACACAGAGAACTTAACTTCGGATATTCGGAAAACTGTGTTGGATCTAGAAATTAAATAATTCTCTCTGGAAATAGTATAAATATATAAGATACAATACGAGAGAGAGACATGTGTTAATTAATTTGTTAATAATGGTAATTACATTTACATGTAAGTACCACGTTATCGTGATCTAATCGTGATGTATAAACGGCGCGGGATAAACAGCGAAGAAATTAATATGGCAAAAATTGGATCAAAACAGGTGTGACGTCTTTCACGATTCACACACGATGACATTTTGCGGTCACGTTTTGAGACAGCAATTTCTCTGCATCTCATCCAGCTCGGAGGACGTACTGATGAATAATATCGATGGTAAATAATATGGCGCGTGTCAGCCCGCAGTCGATGACGTCAAGGAACGTGAGGCATGTAGATTGTTTGATGTAAAGAGGCTGGGCAACGAAAGTGGATGCGACAAAATTTCCCAAAGGACGAGGAACAAATTTCCCAAAGGGAAGAGGAGCATCGGCGATCGCGTTACGGAGATAGAAAGTGAGAAATAGCTCCCCGTGACGACCATAATAAAGTTTTCTTCATCGTCTCCTGAACAGATGCATGATCTGTTTTTCAAAGAGGTCTTTTCCGGGAAGTAATGAATGTGAAATAATTCCTCATTCATTATTTCACGAAATTAGATTGTCTTTTTCCCAGCTCTTTTAATATTTTCTCTACATTTATCTTACATACAAAAAACTTGAATACTAGCTGTGATATATCTTAAAGAATATTAACGAGCTTTGTCTGAGAAGAGAATATAGAACGTGGTGCGATCGATCGTATATTTTTCTAGAGATTCTTAGTGCGTTTTTCCTTCTCAAATTTTCACAGACGTCTTCAAGATTTTTTTTATGCTCGCACGACAAATGCAGAAATTTTTTCTTAGAAGAGAAGAGAATCTTCAAGTCGGACGTATCGATTTTTCACTTCAATGACTTTAAACTATCTCGACAAATAGGGCGGACGCCTAAGAGACGGTTGAAGAGATAAATCAAGATAAATTTCAGAGAGAGAGAGAGAGAGAGGAGGGAGGGCGAAACGTTCCAAGGGGTTGCAATATATCGCGTGCAGGAGTTGGCGAGAGGGACAAGAGAGCCGAGAGAGAGAGAGAGGTCGGGACGAGTGGCGTTCCTCTCGATTGAGAAATAGAGATATCGCTGGAGAAGCAGCGTAGCAGGTGATACACACAAAGTGGGGACGTTGTGGAAATGGGTCAAGAGTGTCTCGGCGATGGCAGTGTGGCAGCTTCTACTTAACGTGTCCCGCGTTGAATTGTGCGAGAAATCGGTACGTGTGCCACATCGAATGCAATAGCGCGGATTAATAGAGACAGATACTCTTGGACCGAGGAAAATCGCGAATGGCCTGTGCTGTTAAAAATGTAACATTAGTGAATTCGAGATAGGTGTGTCATCGTGTGAATCAAATCGCGCGGCTGTTTCTGTGATTTAACGAAACTAAAATAATAGTCCGCGCGAATTTATCGCGAATTAAATACACAAATTAACTTTGCATCTTTATTTACGTATATATATATATATTATATATATATATATATATATATATATGTATGAGTAGCTATTTTGTTAATTGATGTAATACAGTGCACAATTAAAAATTTACGAATTGATTTTAATTTCAGCTTGCAAGTGACACAAACTGCACTCGCTCCCTCTTTAATTCACGCCCGATAAAAAAAATCCATCCATTATGCTGGATGTTAATTCCGAGATTAACAAATCGGAAGAGTTTGCAACGATGCCGAAGGACTAGTTGATCTGTGTGCGATTTTTAACGAATGCGAGATCATCGAGGGCACAACGAGAATCACAACGAGGAGCGCAAGCTCTCGATGCATTTCGGTGGTGCAACGCGCGAGAGATGCGTCGTTTTATCGCGGCAAAAGCACATCCGGTCATCGTCCACATGCTGAAATCCGGGAGTCATCGTCAATGTGTGGCCGCCGTCGCTTCTCTCGAGGAGACATATAGCCGTCTCCTCTCCAACTGACGAATTCACCGTCTGCAATTATTTTTTTATGGTTTACGGATCGTACAGAGCCACAGAGTCAACAATCACCACGGGGATCGCTTGGCTTCACAACATCACCTCTCAAGGTAAATCACCAGCGGGATATATCCGTCTTTTGTTTGTATAAAAATTGTTTGTATGAAAAGTAGCAAATCTCTGGATTTTTAACGAGTTATTTTACTTGTTTTGTTCTACACAAATTGAAAGTATAAACAAGAACAAACTTCTATATTAATTAGCATTATATCACTTAATAATATGCATATTTTAAATTGATTGTCACTTAAAAAAAAATTATTTGTTAATAAATTTTATACTGTATTTTACGGTGATTTATTACAATGTATAATATAACGATACGATGCGATATGTATAAAAATAATGCTCGTGTTATAAATTTTGAAGTTGATGGATTAATTTTGTAGCAGCCGTATCATATTTAGTTTAATAATAATACAATAAGTTGCTTGCACCGTTGCTTTCTCGAGCTATAAGATCGGTCAGTTTCTTATCAAGTTGTGTCTATGTTTTTTTAGCGTTATCTTTAATCACACAGAGCGCGCCGACCATGGAGATTAGGTGGTGTTGTAAAACTTTACACGCGAGCGCGCATAAAGATTGATCGACTGTGTCCGATGCTTGCCCTACTCTCTCGGTGCCTGTGTAATATATTACGATGATCGCATAAAGCTTTACTTTCACCGGCGTCGAAAGGGGAGACCTATGAAATTCGGCCTATTAACATAAGAGAGAGTTCACGCACGTAAAACTGTTTTGTCCCACGTTTACGTAATATTCATCGTTATTCATAAGATATATACAGGCAAACAGGAAGTAATTTCAAATTTGAAATTTTAATGTGTAATTACAAGTCAATAATTAAAATTTATCTGATTTATGAAGCACTTTTAGTTGTCTTAATCTAAAAATCTTATTTTAATAATCAACACAATTATACTTTTTTTTTATCTGTACCATGCGAATAAAGAAAGATTTAAATTAAGTAATTTGATAGATGAGAGAATTCATAGTCTATTAAAAAAAACAACATTATACAAATATAAATTTTTAATTTAAAATTATATATAATTGAAAGGCAATTGTGTGAAAGAGATATTTACGAAATAAATGTTTTAATTCAGATTATTTCAAACATATAATTAAAAAATTAATAAAAAGTTAGTGAAGAGCTTGTTTAGTTTTTATTTTATTCCAAGTGGAATTTTTATTTCAGAGTTTTTTATTCTTCAAAATATAAAATTATGGAGAAAGAATGAGATATTCAAAATCAATCTTCGTTAAAAAATAATCGATTTAAAAAGTGTTTAAAAAGAATTCAAGAAATTTTAGATTTGTTAGGACATAATTTTATATAGGGCGTCCGCTACCAAATGGTAAAGTTCAGTCCAACAATCGACGTTAGGCAAACGGGGACTTGTTTACTACAAGCGGTATGCAGTAAACAAGTCCCCGATTATCTAGCAACGTCGAGCACTGAGCACCAAATGCAGTCGCATCTCGCCGCGCGAATGCATTTGGCGTTGAGCCCAGGTGGGCTGCCCTTATTTGGCGATCTTCTAATTAATTTCTCGTCAACTATTGAGAAAATTGCAAAATTATACGGGACTTCTCGACTCAATCTAGTCCACTCTACTTGCCCACGAGTGCTTTATTTTATTTGGTACCGGACACTCTATAAATCTATCTTTTCACACATAACAGTATTTTTCACACATCAACTATTTAATTGCAGGTGAGATGAGCAGCAGCGGTGGACCCGGCGGTGGATGGGGGGGAGGCGTCGACGTCGGCGTCGGCGTCGGCGTCGCCGGCGGGCCGACCCTCGCGGCCGCTCAGCAAGGTCAAGGTGTGGCCGCCCTTATGGTGATGCTCGCCGTTCTGTGCTTCATCTTTGCGTATTGCTGTTGGGGCGCGCCCTTCTGCCGATCTCTATGCAGACGGCATTGCTGCTGCCGTCTGGAAGATCCCGATCCGGATCCGCGGTTCGGCGGCAGCGAGCAGGCCATGGTGGCGACGCCGACGATCATCCTCCTGCCCCATGGCAGAATGCTTGTCGTCGACGGCACGATTTTCACTCAGTTCCAGACCGATCCTACAGGTAAAATTTAGGCTTTCTTGAATTAGAATAGTGATTACTCAAAGAACGGATTGAAATAATAAAATCGGTCATTTAAGAGAACAAGTACATATGTATATGATTGAACAAGAAAAAATAAATTTATCGATAAATTAAGATGATATTAAAGAAATTCTTAATAATACAATATAACAGATACGTTGCAAATAAACAAGAAATAGTTAAATTTTGTAATATTTTTTTTTTAATAAAATAAGTATCTGTAATGAAGAAAAATGATCTACATTGTTTTTTTAAATTATAGAGAGTTATCAAATTATAAGGTAATCCTTGCTACAAAATTTTAATGATTTTCTTTAGAATAAATAAAAGCCTATAAAATTTTTGACAGGTTTAGACTTGGTGGAGCTTGGCGATAGCGTGTTGCGCGCCCAGAGAAATCCGCGAAGCGTAAATCGTCACCAGTTGCAGAGCAGTCAAGGCAGCATCCTCGAAATGGACGCCGAGACACCTAGCAAGGACAGCTTAGGTTCCGTCGGATGTTTCCCGCCGCCTACCTACGAGAGTATTTACGGCAAAGAGGAAACCGACATGCCTCCCTCTTATTCCGACATTCTTTTGCATAGGTATGTACGTCATTATGTAAATTTACCTGGAGAACCATTGATTGATCTCAAATTCAACTCATTCCGCAGATTTGCCAATCTACCGCATGAAATTGATATGCACGGTTACTGTCGCGACGGCAAGGAGGAGATCGAGATGCAGAGTCTAGACAGCTGCCCGCACATCATTGGCAATCCGTTGAACTCGATGCCCGGATATCACCCCTACGCCACGGTGACAAGTCTGTCCAGTCTGCAGAGCTACCCGCGACGGAACGTCTCGCGCAATCCGTCCATCATCAGCAATCCGTTGGACAACTTTTACGTGGACAACGAGCTCAGTCTCTATCGACTCGGCCGCGAGGCCGTGCCGCGCGTCTCGAGTAACGACGCGAACCTCGAGACCTTCCGCGCGTCCCACGACGAGATGTCCTTCCGCGTTCCGCTCGACGAGAACGAGAATCATCGGCACGCGAGCCGCAACAATTACCAGGTCGCCGGCAACGAGCTGATGAACACGAGAAACCGCGCCCGCAGCGCTTCCAGGCTGAGCCAGGACAGTCGCAGGAGTTCGTTGAATCGCGACGGTGAGCAGCATCAGATTTTCGTCAGGCTGCCCGATCCCGAAGATATCGAGGCTGCGCGAGACAGGCGTATCGATGAGGATCAGCGAGCGCCTCGAACGTACCGCGAGGACCAGAACGCCAGGAATCTGCATCTGGATCATCCCCAGTTGCAAGACGAGATCAATCGTAACATCATTGACGACGATCCCAGGTACTTCGCGAGGAACAGGCGACTGGAGGATGAGGACAGGGATCAAGACGAAGCCGAGGGGGTTCAGTATCCCGACGAGGAGGCTGGTAATTTCGGCGCGCTCGCTGACATTCGCGAGAGCAGAGTGTAATCTAGACTTTTAACTGTGCGTTCTTTCGAGTGACTGTTAAAAAGGGCTTTAATCGGAGAGATCGTCAAATTTGAAGTGCTTTAAAAATACATTTAAAAATTTTGTTTGATTTTTTTTAAATAAGAGTCTAAATTTGAAGAAACATTTACGACCAAAAAATTTTGATTATCATTTTTATTTAGGAATTTATTGAGAAAGTCATAACATTCCAGTTTATAATTCCCGTCTCCTTTTTATTTTGTGGAAAAGGACTGGTGCAATGCCCTTTATACTATGTATAAATAATAAATATGAATCTGAAAATCTGGTATCTCGCACGACAGATAAAGAAAGTCGCGTGACAAGACAACTCAACTGTAGAAATTGCGGCAAATTTCTACGTTAAGCTGCTAGGATATTGTTTCGATCATGTTCACACACAAACAGGTTGACATGCAGGATTATGGAAACCGAGGAGTTGCGGTTAAGAGATAAATATTGCATTGTGCAGAAAATATAAGACGATGTTATAACTGTATATGTATATATATATATATGTGACAATATAATTGTACGCGTGACAGTCTAGTAAAATTCGTCACACATACACGTACATACATACACACGTGCAACATATTTCCGACAGATTGATCGTGCAGTATGAAATTGTACAACGATTTTTTTTAACGGAGTCTCGAAAGTATAGCTCTTACGTATACGACGATCAGAAAGGATTAGGACGAGACAAAAGAAAATGTAAAGATAATTATAAGCTCTTTTGAGACATGTAGAACGACGAGAAATATCGAAAAATACAGTTTTTATTCTCTTATAAAATAACGCAGATAGAGGATTTAAATCATGCGATAATTTGTGTTACATAATCGAAATCCTTCCTAAGAAAACATCGATCGCAAGAAATTAGCGAAAACCGTGCAATTCTCAATGTAAACGTTTTTTACGCGGAACATTGTGTTTTTAAATCGAACAAACGAATCGTATAGCAAAGTTAGTTCAGTCCGTCCAGGCTTTAACAAGCGCACTTAAGTTTTCAGCAAGCATCATCCAGCAATTTAATCATGATTAGCGATTTCCTTCCCCTTGATATTTTATAGGTAAGCTAAGCAGATGCCATGACTATTGAATAGTTGTACCATTAAAAAAATAGTGTGCTTCGTATGTTATTTGTAAAATACACTCTCCTCACTATTTTTGAATGGTACTATCCATTGGATACATCGAACGATTTTAATATTTGCGACAAGTGATAAGACGAAACTGAATCTCTTGCGACCAGGAGAAAAAAAAATGAAATAAAACGTGAAAAAAATTTATATTAAGAAGAAAAAGCTGATTGTCTTAATATGAGTTTCAGGAACCAAAGAGAGATCTGTATTGAAATTCGATAATCAGATACAGCAAAGTATCAAAACATTAAATCGAACCAAGTATATTTCAGAAAGAACGATAACGGTTGGCTTTAGATACACTTCTTACGTACACATACACGTGTAAGGTAATTATAAAAGTTGTACACACACACGTTATCACTGTTACCGTGTATCATAGGGACAAATCACTGACCGAGAGAATAAAATTCTGCGTGAAGCATATGTAATACTGTGTGCCTTCCTAGTTTTTAGATTGCTAAGTGAACAGTATAGACAAATGGGAACTTTCGTTTTTACAATAGCCGATTATTTCGACCAAACTCTTTTTTCCTTCCTTCGTTTCGAATCTAAAAACGATAAGAGGCAACCTACTTTGTAAGATATAATGTTATTCTATGGAAAAAGAATATATCCCCTCGACTACAAACGATATCAATAAATTAATAAATGATATCAATATAAATTGTTTCTCATAACGAGAAATATAGTTTACATTGTATATATATTGTTATATTAATTATAACAAACACTGGACCGTAAAACACAGAAGGCAAGGCCACTCTACGAATGCACAATAAATTTATAATTTGTTATTTTTAATTCGCAGTATTTATATAGGGATGACGCGTGGTCCAGTATGGGAGCAGTCGACTTATAATCTGCGGATTCCGATCCTCGTCTTATGTATGCCTCGGTTTTACTACTTTTACTAGAAGTTGATTGAAAGATTGAAGGCTACGAGTAAAAGAGTACGAATAGTAAATCCGTTTCAAGAGTCCACAGTTCATTTACAATTCACAATATTTACATCTTTACTCCAAGAGATATCAATGCAGTTTACTATGTACACAATCGATATCGGCATTTTTATGACTAATTGTAGTAATCTAAAAAGTGTCGTTTATATAAAAAAAAAAAAAAATGAGAAAGATCTTATTTTCAATCCACGTCGCTGTCCATATCCTCAGGAGCTGAAGAATCTTCTTCCACATTCTTCTTGTCCCAGTCTTTCAACTTAGCCCCCATGACAAAGTCGTCTCGAAGAACACTCCACATTTTGTGATCCTTAAGACAAACGTGTTTCTATTGTTATACACAATTGTACATTGCAATGTAAAACAGAATATGTACCAATATCAATAAACACAATTATACATGGCCTTGATAAACGTATTAAAGAATTCAATGCTTATCAAAAAAAGATAAAAAAGTAGCATATTACTGGTACTTTTTTTTAAATGCCAATAAAAAATATTTAATATCAATCTAATTTATATTATAAGTAAGAAGAGTTACTCACTTTGTCTTTATCGTCTGTCCGTTCGACAGACTTCTCAGGTTTAACGGCGTTGTCAACTGGTACGCTTTTACTGCCGCCCATCAGAACATCAAGGAAGGCATTCTTGTCGATATTCTTGAACACTTGCTCGCGTTTTCTCTCTAATGGTCCCGCTTGCGATAATTTTGTCTTAATCTCCACTTGTTGCTGCCTTACTGCATTAAACAGTTGCACGACTCCTCTGGAAAGTGTGGCATAAAGAGTCATGAACGAAAAAACAGAAAAATTTATTTAAGCGTAATACAACTTACTTTGTGGCTACCCTTTGTAACATTCTCTCATGCTCCCGACTTGTAATGGTCGGTATTACTCTGATACCACGGACCTTCGTTCTTCTCGGTTTAGCTGGTGCAGTCTTCACCGTTACACCTATCCTATCAACAGCCTCTTCCGATTCAGTTTTGATCTCCTCTTTAATATCATCAATCTCGAAAGAGACATCTTCTTTTTCCTTTACTTTTACATCGTTCAACCTCTTTGCTTTGGCCAATACAAGTGTCTTTTTGTTATTTGGTTTATTTATTTTTAGAATCTTTTGCATAACATCAGCCCAGCCAGCATTTCCAGTAGATCCAGCGTCATGTGACGCCTCGCCCGTGTCATCCTTCATTTCTTGATCGTCTGATTCATTTTCTTCACTTTTCTCGTAATCACTGTTATCCTCATTATCGCTCTGTGACGGTGCCGCACCAGCATTGTCTATCTCGTCTGTCTTCGACCGCACTGCAATGAGATACAAATTTGAGATTTTGCCTAAGTGATTCTCATTGTCGGAATATTAAGACCAATAATAATTTGATAGGAATGATGCTCCATGTGAGAGCGTCAACTTGTAGCTGAGTCCCAGATTCAATTTCGATCCTCATCCATTTCATACACCGGGATGGGAATTTTATAAGAGGTTGAAAATAATCTTTTTCCATGACTTCATAATAATTATTTTAATTTTTATTACCATAATTATTATATTCATCATAACTATATTATCTACTAACAAATTAATTAATCGATACCTTCTCCAAGGTCATACAATAGAATTATTATGAACAATTTTACCTATATTTACTCTAATTTTAATTGCAATTCCTTCTTTGAAAATTCTTTATCTTACAGATGAAATTCACAATAACAAACTATCTATTAAAGCTATTGGCCACCAATGATATTAAAGATATGATTATTCTGATTTCAAAAATATTGAATTTGATTCTTTTATAATCCCAACTGAACAACTAATAAATAACGAATTCCGCCTATTAGAAGTAGATAACCGATGTATTCTCCCATTCAACTACCCCTTACGAATTCTTACAACTTCCTTAGATGTTATTCATGCTTGAAGTCCCAGCCTTAGGAATTAAAATAGATTGGAAGGAAAGAGATTGAAAATGAAGAAAGTTGTAAGTGAAGAAGTATGATATAAATACCGTAACCTACTTCGAGAACTTATATTTTCCAAAAAGATAAAAAAAAACAATTTTATATATAACCTATTTTATGTATAATCTATAATAACAAAATAATCTTATCCTCAATTACAAATCAAAGTCTATGATATTAACATTCTTCTTTATTATCCTCAATTGAAATCATACACTGAAATCAATACATTTTAGAAGTGATCTTGATTGAAGCATCCACAAAACTTAAGAACATGCTGAAGAGGATAAGAATAAAATGTATACCTACATGTTGTATACAAATTAAAATGATCTTTGTTACATTTTCAACATATCAAATTGTTATAATTGTTATCGTTTTTATTCATCACGATTATATAGCGAAATGAATTACCATTCATATTATATCCCTTCATTCAACCACCTTTGTCCTACAATCAATTCCTTGTAAAATCAAAGTGTATACATGGGATGAGGATCAAAATATTGAAATTCAGAACCTACCAAGCCGATAGTTGTCACACGGAGCTAAGAGCGTCACCCCTGTATTTATTTAAATAATCAAATAAATATAATCGCTTACTTGGTATTGATAAAAACATGATTATTCAACTTATTCCAGTTTCAAACATAACCACGTGGTCGTGAAGCTATACAGACAAATTTCCCAACCGAGGAACATAACCTCCAAAAAAAAGCTATACAGATATTACAATAGAGAAGTGCAGACTGCAAAGCACTGCAGAGTGCAGAAGATGCAGAATCAAAGTGTCTGAAGCGCCTCTATCGCCACAAAATGTGGACACTGAACTACGTATCCATGTCCATGTAGGTAATATCCTGTAGGTAATATCATTGCATCTCTGGCAAAAGTGAGAGAAGTGACGAAGCACCCACTCGGCTTAAATTCGGGAGCTCTCGCGCGGATTATTTAGCCGAATTTAAACATTTTTTAAATATGGTATAAATATTATTAAAATGGTTTTAAAATATACATATATGCAAGGTTGGGTATAGTGCCTAGTTAAAAAGATAAAAGTTAATTAGTACGTTAATTAAAAAGTTAAAAGTTAAATAATTTTAACTTAACTTAGTTACATTTTAGGCTTTTAACTTTTAATTTAATTTAGTTACATTTTATCGGTAACTATTGAATTATGATCTAACTTGAAGTTACTGTATTTATACATTTTTAGTGCTTCTTGTAAATTATCCAAATAAAATAAAAATAAAAATACATGTCTAAGTTATAGTGTCTTCAAACTCAAATTTGAGAACACACAAGGCAATTGTAATAATATAATAAATATAGTCTGGCCGCGGGAAGGAATCACACTAAATTCGCGGACCTAATTCTGTGCATTAAATCACTTTGGAAGAAGTCTTTCGAAATCGGTGCTCTTTCCGCGGCTCGACAGAAATAAGTATAATAAATATATACGTTATTTAGAAATTTTATTTAGAAATCCTGAAATTATAAAATGAAAAAATTTAATTTTAACGTTTCAATTACTTTTTTTTATTAACTTAACTTTTAACTCAATCAATTTTATTATGGACTATAACTTGTATCTTAACTAAGTTAAATTTTTAGACTGTTAACTTTAACTTTAACTTAGTTAAAAAAATATATTAATTTACTCAACCCTGCATATATGTGATAGAAATTTTTTAAAAAATTTTTAATTATTTTTAAGCTTCAAGGATCAAGCATAATAATAAATTAAAAATAAACCGATTTCAAACATTTTCTTTACGAGCAAATTTTGATTCTAAAGATACCACTCGCTTTATTAAAAATATTTTATATGTATAATTGTTAATTATAATTGTTAATATAAATTATTAGCGTACGTACGCTAGTCAGATTATAGCCACCACGCTATTTTGTTCTCTCTCGTATTTCAGATGCTGATGCTGACTCCCACATGTTTTTGATGACACACTTCAGATCCAGATATTGTCCTGTTATTCAACGCGTCACGTAAATTGACGACACGTGTCACGCACTAAAGATCATGAATTATTATTTTTAGCAAAGTGCTTGCCAAGAACTCTTGTCTTCTCACGCCGTTCATTTTCGTGCAAAGACGTGATAATCATATTTATGTTTTCGCATATATTTTTCGTAGAAAAAGCTATATAAGTACACGCACAGAATTCACGCGGCATAAAGTAGTGCGCTTTTAAAGAAAAAAAAAATTAAATGCATAGAAAATATATCTAAAATTAATAATCTAGTAAAGCTATATATAATTATAATTAATTGCAACTTCCCGAAGTGTTTACTTTTGTTTGGAGAATTTTTATTGTAGCAATTAAGAGTTTTTGTAATTGCGTTGAAGGGCATTTTATTATATTTAATCAAACTTTATTAAGTTTTGTTTGTAAAAAGATATTATAATTTCTGAATTTTTTAGTATAAATATATGCTTTTGTTTACGGCGTGTTTACCTAGCAATTAAACACGGGAAATCCGCCAAATTGTACAATGCGAATGCTATTAAATTCCTTTTTAACACGCGTCGTAGCTGAGTTTTTCCCGTATTATGCGGATTAGTCAATTGTCTGATTCCGCTGGATTCATCTAAATTGGATAAATGCACGTTCCTGTTCACCTTGTGCATAACATATATATGACTGCATTGGCGACTTAGCGTGAACATGTTATATACGTCGTCATCTTGGTTCTGTCCCATTTTATTGTTTATCTTTAAAGAAATCAGTATATAACATCGAGACATCGACCGAGATATTAATATTAAAGACCGACATTCTTATGGGAATTAGTGCGCGTGTAGCTGTTAAAATTTAAACAATATATTAACTAATATTAATATATAATATTAATTTTAATATCTATACATATAATTTATTATTAAACTAATGTTTTTAGATAATTTTAATTAAAATTGCATTTTGATTTATTATTCGTATATTTGATGATCCATAAAGATAATGCGACAGTATAGAAGAAAAAATTATTATTTAATTGCGGCAATATATTTGATATTATAACATTATAAGTATGCCATGCATATTTACTTACAAAACATTTTGTATAATAAAAAATAAAAATTTTCATAATGCATTATTCCTACATTTATGTTAACAGTCATAAAATTACTGCATCAATATAATGGATATAATATTACGACGTCTTCAATTACTTATGTCCATCAAGCCCCTCGAGCTCCTTTGATGATCACGAAAATTTATCCAGGATTAACGATCTTTAATAATATCTCAATCGTCGGTGGTAGAGAGTTTGTACCCTATATATCGCTATTAGTGTTTAAATTATTGTAGAACCTCCAGATATATAATACAAAAAGATATATAAATTATAAGATATACAAAAATATACGGAGATATATAATTAAGAAAAATAATATAGATACTAAAGATACATATATTTTTGTGAATTTATTTTGATCCTCCGCCCTTATTTATACGTGACCCTACTCTACTTAATTATTATATAATTTATTAATGTTCCTGCAATTATGTATATTTTCGCATATCTTAATTTTTATATATACATATTATATAAATTAAGTATGCAAAGATATAAAGATACATGAAGAAATTATATAAAGACATGGTTTTTGAAACTAATATTATTTCAATTCATTTTCTTAATTTTTCAAGATGTTTTTCGATTATTTTGAAACTATAATAAGATTACAGAATCTGTTCTCATCAAAGATTTACCTATCTGAAATAAATCGATCAATTAAGCTAAAATATCGATTATACATATATGCTTGATATGATAGTAATTACTATAATTATATATGCTTATTACAATCGCTATGTTTCAAACTGCAATAATCTGCTACTTTTTTTATGCATGTGAAATAAGCTTGCCGCAATAAATATCGATCGCAAAATTTGATGCGGCAACGTTCAAGTCTATTTGTTTAGTCACACCCAACCTTTGTTTTTTTCTCCCTCGAAAACCATCTTCCTAAATATACAATTTTGGCTTAAAGCTTTAAGAAAGTCGAAGAAAGCGTAACTATAGAACAGATTCACACGCATTCGTATATATATCTTAATTGCCCTAAATATATATTTATTTTATTTTTTCTGCTGTAAAAAATATAAAAAAATATAAAAATATTTTATTTTTTCTTCTATAAAAAATTGAATGGAAAAGATAAATTTATTTATATAGACATCATTTATTTAATTAAGAGAGAGGATTAAGCAAACCAGATAAGGGTGTTGTAACATTCTTCTCTTTCTCTTGCAGTCTCTAAAATACACATACATTTATGCATATTATATATACATATATATATATGCTTAAATGACGCAGAAAGCAAAACGGATTTCCAATCACTGTCGCTACTGTCATAAAAAATAATCTATCTCTTATTGCACCTTCTGCACTTCTTTCTCTCTCTCTCTCTCTCTCTCTCTCTCTCTCTCTTTCTCTGTCTTTCGACTGTGCCCGATCATCCGTCTGCCTCCCTCACTCCCTGCGTTGGAAGAGTAATCTATCGCAGCTGAGAGGGAGAGCTGCTGACGACGAGCTGACAGGTCGGCTGAGTTGACTCGCGGAGAGCGGTGACGCGGAATTGGCGATTGGCGCCTGACGGCCGCGCGCCAGTCAGTCGCTTGACACTTGACTGTCCGGGGTCAGTTTCGCACAGTCCTGATTCGCGAGCTTATTATTGTTTTGTTGGTGCGCGGTTAATCCGGAGCGCAGAGAGTCCGAGCGCGACGACGACGACGCGCGTCTCGCAAAATGGCAGAACGAAGCCGCGCGGGTTACCTCGCGCTCCTCTACCTGGCCTGCCTGTTCGCGCAGGCGGTGCGGTCGAACCCGGTGAACATCCCCCTGAACCGGGTGCCCTCCGGGCTGCTGGAGAAGGCGTGGAAGGCCCTGAACGAGCACTCTCCGACGCATCACCTGTACGCGCATGGCAACCTGATAAACGCGCAGGAATTGGTGAGTCCGTGTATACATACATCTGCCCGATGCCGCGGGACCTCCACGGGATAAGTCACCAGGAATATATATATACCTCGGGTGAAGATCGGGGAAATTCCAATCGCGTGCCCCCCTTTCAGCGCTTTCGTTTCATTTTTCATGCAGCTATTAGGCGAGTGTCACGAGAGGTGACACGATCGAACGGCCAATGAGCCAATCCTTCTTTGTTTGGCGATGACTGTTGTCAGCAGTCGAGAACGAGTTTGCTCGCAAACTCATACATAGGTATATATAATGCGTCGCAAGCTGCAATACGTAGCCGTTGAGAGGTGAAGAATAATTTTGTTTGCTGCGCAGTTATAGCTTCTTTGAATAAACAATTAAATATTTGCAGAGAGTGAGGATGAGACTCCTATAAGATCGAAGCCAATCAGATTGTAATTCTTTGTTTACCTATTAAGTTGTCGAAAATTAAAGTGACGAAAATTAAATTTGTGAATTAAGTTTTCATCGCTTATCAGCGCGATGAAAACTATAAATTGTAAATATCAAGAATTGACTAAGAGATTATAGATTATGTTATTTGTACAGATTATAAATTGATTATGATTATAGACCGTAGTATTGATATAGACTTCAAAATAGTGATTTGACAATATGGTTTGAACAGTGTGACATAAAGAATTCTGATAAAATTCTGAAGATAAAAAAATTTCCTTTGTCTTCCAATGTAATAAAGAATGAATTACCAGCATTACGTGTTGAATTCTATTTACAGATAATTATTTCTTATGAGAAATATGGGAAACTAATATCAAGGATTGTGAGGCGTCAAGGCATAATTGATAGCATAATTATAGTAATTTCGATTTGCTTTCCTGGAAAGACACGTTTGATGACTGTTCTCCCTCTGAGAATCTCGACGCCGTTTCTATAAGGATTTTACAGATGTAAAGGTGTTATTTCTTGGATTCATTCAAGAGTGATGCAATGTTTTACGTTATATTCAACTGATGTAAACAATTAACATTATTTATTATTTAGAAAAAAAATGTCAGAATTGATAAAGTTTGTTTTAGTAAAGCTAAAACTGTTGTGGATTCTTGCCGTTTTATTTGAGGGTGATATTAAGCGAAACTTCTAGAAACATGGATAAGATATTTCATTTTATTTCTGATCACGCGAATGTATCAATATGTGAATGTATTCTATCGATGCGTGTCAAGGTATACATATTTCTCTATGCATGTATATTCGGAGGCAATGATAAACTGAGATAATGATGTTCTGGGTTATCAGGCCAAGCTGTACTCGGGTGCGAAGGAACGTGAGGAATGTTACTGCGCAGCAGAGTTCTGTTTTGAGGCATAAAACATTATGCATTTCAGCTTTATATTACAGTAACAGAATAATTGCTGCAATAGAATAATCGCGGTTTATTATTTCAATCAATAGTGATTATTACCAAACAAGTCTGATGTAATTGTAAGGTGATTTGCCATTCCTCGTGTAAATAACTCCATTATTGTTGCAGGAGGAGCCGCCTTACAAAGTATACAAATTCACGTACGACCTGAGTCCAATATGCGGGGTGGAGTCCTGCCCCAGAGAGGCCTGTACTATCGACCTGAAGCAGGACGAGCACGGCGACATAGAGACGCTGAATGATTCCATTCAGTGCATGTACTTCTATCCGGCGGACGCGCAGAATGACATGTCGCAGGAGCAGAGCTATCAGGCGGAGGAGCAGGAGGACTCTCAGGTCACTCAGGATAGCCTGGCCGAGCAGGTGAACAGCAATCGGAGCGTTGAATTGGATCACGAGATTCAGGAGACCGGCGACGAGAACGTCAAGACGTTCGTCGCCGTGCGCGCCTCCGGCAACACGTACTGCCCGGGCTGTCCGTACGAGCTGAATCCGAATCTGCCGGGTCTCCTCGTTTTCGGCGACCAAACGTTGAGATCGATGGACGAGCAGACCGCGGGCGATTACAAGCACAAGCTGTTGAGCATCGTGAGGGTCACCCGCTTCGTGCCGGTTTCGTCTAACGTGATTAAGTACGAGCTGCTGCTGCTGATAGGCGAGTCCGAGTGCCTGAAGAACGCCCTGGAGCAGGAGCAGGAGTGCCCGCTGCGAGCGGCCGTCCCGACCAAGTTGTGCATGGTCACGTTCGAGCAACGACCGTGGCAACAGACGTCTCTCAGGATCACCAAGAACAACTGCACGGATCCCGAGAACGCGTCCAGCGATCCGACCGGCCAGTCGTACGGATCAACTTTGGAGAGCGAATCCTTGGTGACGGTCAAATACGACGAAGGGCATCCGTTCCACACCGAGATGGACGACGCCTACGAGAGCCTGAAGGAAATGTTGGACAATTACACCCAAGCGCCTCCGATGTCCTCGAAGGAGCCCGCGGAAGCTGAGGTGACGGAATCCACGATCGTGAAAGTGGTACTGAATAAGAGCCAGGATGACGAAAAGATCTTGGGCTTTACGGACAAGGCGAAAGAGTTCAAAGAGTTCTTGGAGGACTTCGATCTGCCCGTCAAGGTGGAAGCTACGCCCGACACAGGTGAGGCTATGAAGGAAGTCAAGGAAGAGAAATTTCAGCGAAAGAAGGTTTCCGTTCCGGAGGATTTCAAGCTCGAAAAGGCGAACGATAGAGAAAATGTTAATAACAGGAGAAAACGCTCGCAGAGGCTGGTCGGTGCTCCCGCGCCGACATCCACAACCGATCCTGAAATCCAGCTCTTCGCTGAAAAAGCGCTGCGCAAAATTTCCGCGGAATCGGACAGTCCGAACGAACCGCTCATAACGGAAATCATCGAGGCGACCGTCCAAGTAGTCGCCGGTAAACTTTACAAGATCAAGGCCAAGCTGGGCGACAGTAATTGCCCGAAGGGCACCAAGGACAACTGCCAGTTGCAGGAGGGAAGCGAGGTGAAGGAGTGTCTGATAAAGGTGTGGTCGCGGCCGTGGCTCGACAACGGTTCGCCCGAGATAACTGTGGAGTGTCCCCCGCCGAATAATGAGAGAAGGAAACGGTCCCTGCGCGGCGTCGATTACAACAGGAAGATGATGCAGCTCGCCGAGGACATGAGAACCGAGCGGCTGTTCGACGACTTCGCGGTGACCCACAATCGAACGTACGCCTCGCCGGAGGAGAGGAGCCTGCGGCTCCAGATATTCCGCGAGAATCTCGGTATCATACAGCTGCTGCGGAAGACCGAGCAGGGGACCGGCCGCTACGGCGTGAACATGTTCGCCGATATGTCGCGCGAGGAGTTCCGCGCGCGTTATCTCGGCCTGCGACCGGACCTGCGGTCGGAGAACGAGATTCCCCTGCCCGAGGCCGAGATCCCGGACATCGACGTGCCGTCCAGCTTCGACTGGCGACAGAAGAACGTCGTGACTCCGGTGAAGGATCAGGGCGGATGCGGTTCGTGCTGGGCCTTCTCGGTGACGGGCAACGTCGAGGGCCAGTACGCGATCAAGCACGGCCAGCTGCTGTCCCTGTCCGAACAGGAGCTGGTGGACTGCGACGATCTTGACGAAGGCTGCAGCGGCGGCCTGCCCGACAACGCGTACCGGGCGATCGAGCAGCTGGGCGGCCTCGAGCTGGAGTCGGACTATCCGTACGAGGCGGAGAACGAGAAGTGCCACTTCAAGAGGAACTTGGCCAAGGTGCAGCTGACCTCCGCCGTCAACATCACGACGAACGAGACGCAAATGGCGCAGTGGCTCGTGGAAAACGGCCCGATCTCCATCGGCATCAACGCCAACGCTATGCAGTTCTACATGGGCGGTGTCTCGCATCCCTTCAAATTCCTGTGCAATCCCAAGAATCTGGATCACGGCGTGCTGATCGTCGGCTACGGCACAAGTAGTACGTATTGCGTTAAGATAGTTTTTTGAGCAAACGATTGAAAAGTTATTATTGGAAAAAACACGGCAAAAGAAAGTAGAACTCATTGTATTTTCTCTTCCACAGAGAAATTAATTTTAATCATTGTCCTCGATGAATGTAGTTTAACAATTTTATATTTTTTAATGTATCGCTAATATAAGTACATATATAATTCAGTAATTAAGAATATGTATTTTAATTAGTAAAGTTCAACATTCTTTTTTTTTTTTTAAGAGATTACACTTAGTGCTTGCTTCTCTTCGAAGGTTTACAATTTAATATTAATATTATTGAGCGCGATAATGTAGACGACATTACACTCAATATTCTCTTTTCAGAGTATCCGCTTTTCCACTCCAAGCTACCGTATTGGATCATCAAGAACAGCTGGGGAAAGTCTTGGGGTGAACAAGGATATTACAGAGTTTATCGCGGGGATGGCACTTGCGGACTTAACACGATGGCCTCGAGCGCCGTGGTTGTTTAATGCTACATAAATAAAATTTTTTCATGACAATTAACTTATAATCGTTCCGAACGGAGTTATATATTATACATACATATATAGAGATTATTCTTTTCTACTAATTAATGTCGATTTTCGAAAACTGAATCCATTCGCTTGCCAAATACTTGAACGTACGCGACTTCACCACACTCGTGAATTTACAACACTAGATATGGCTGCGTTCGGGGAGCGCTCTACCAGCGCTATTGTTATTTTGTGTTAATCGTTAATTAGGACAAAATGATGCAGTAGCGCTGATAGCACGCTCCCCGAATGCATACTATGTATTTATAGTATACACTCGATATTGATATTCAGCTTAATTGTGCAGCTTATTTGGCAAGCTAATGAATCGCCTGGAGCCAGTTATGTTGTTGCAATTTTTAAGCTAAGTTTTATTCTCTGCATATTTATATTGAGAGAAAAACGATGTAATCGTTTTACGACAATCCTGTTTGAAAAATTCGAAACTAAATTATATAGTAATATAATTCGCTAATGTTTTGCAAATCTCTTTATATAAAATACGGATAATATATATAAATATTTAAAGTGTGTTAAAGTAATGTTGAAACTACAGCAATAGAAGATGTTAAGCGTTCTACTAACTTCGCCAAGTTTCAATTGCGTGTATAAAAATCAGTAAGAAAAAAAAAATGAAAGTGTAACCCGCCCCCTCCCCCCCGAGACTTCTGTATTTTACAGTTTTTAAATTTGTTACAGACCGTCAGCATTTTTTTGAAAAGTTTTACAACAAACTTTTAACTTTGCGTAGATCCTGGAGAGTAGTTTTTATATATGCAATTTATTAACTTATAGAGCGAAAGAAATTGTTTATAAGAAAGTAAATGAAACAAGGAAGTAAGTAGGAGTTGGACTTTTATTGAACGTAATAAAGATAACTATGCGAAACCATGTCAATTTAATATACCTGAAATCTTCAACACAAGTATAACATATTCGAAACTTAAATTGTCGTTAAAATATCTAATAATGGCAGAATGTGTGAAAATGTTGAAACATATTGTGAAACAAATTTATACAATTTTATAAATCTGAAACAAATCTCTCGACGTGATTATGCTCAATTGCAAAATTTACATAAAAAAATTAAAACTATTTGGTTTCACAAAGTTTCAATTATAGGTCTAATTTTAATTATAAGTTTTATACTGATACGTATTAGAAGAAATCGGAATACACATATTGGAATAATTACAGAAACAATCATTATTTCATTACTGTTATTTCAAATAATCATAAAAAGCATTTTTGGATATTATCAAGTTTTTAATTAAATCGGATTACTTATCGAATATCAAGATATGATCGATATATTCTACACGTGTCAAAGTAATCTTCAGTAAAAGAAATCACACAGATTCGAAATAATACAATATACCTTTAACATTGATTAACGAAAGACATTTCTCAATCCTGTGCCGAACAAACTAAGCTCGGTACAGCGAACGAATTTAACGAAAAATATAAAGAAGATTATGATCTGCAGTGATCACGATTTCTTCACGAAAAGTAAGTTAATTTACATAAATCGACTACGATTTATACAAATTTGGAGATGTTACATAATATATCCAACATGATGTAGTGAGTTGTAAAATACAACACGTTTTATAATGTAATTTTGTTGATGTTATGCGACAATCGTTTTGGAATCTACAATTTATTAAGATATAATCCGCGAAATCATCTTGACATTTAATGCTATGAAGCAGCAACGTTTTCAAGTTATGTGAACACACAAAAGATCCTAAACAAACTGTACACCGCAGGAATCTTACTCGTTTATTTTTTCAGTGAAAATTTTATATTTTTATCTGACATTTTTTAAATTAATGATTTAAAGGACAATTTGTTTCTAAAATAAAAATTGCAATAAAACAATTATTAGTCCAATTATTAATAATCCTTAATGCATAATTTTAATGCCACGCAAAAGCAATGCAAACAAATAATGCCAGGAGTAAAGTTCTGTTTTAACGGTATACAATTTATTCAGTACATATAGTAAATATCCACATGCAAGGTATCATCAGGTTAATGATATATATATATATATATATATATATATAGAGAGAGAATACGCTTGACATACAAGCTCTCACATGTCAGAGGTGACCAAGATACTTAAACAATTAAATTCCTTCATCTGCTGACTTCGAAATCGGTAGAATAAAAGCTAGAGAATGTACAATAGGACACAATTAACAGTACGATAGTCTTAGGGGCGATTACGTGATCGGTATTAATAATAATTGTAAGATCCCCACTGATTATAAGGTCCGTAAGCCTGCGGTCCTCCTTGACCGTACTGCCAATTTTGGTAGTTAGCATAATTGGGATCTGATGGGGGTGGGTACTGCTGGTAACCTTGCTGATAGCCGCCCTGACCGCCGTACTGTCCGCCCTGGAACTGTTGTGGCGACTGATAAGGACCGCTCGGACCGCTGCTGTATTGGTATGAGGACTGCGAGCCCACGGACGGTGAAGGTGGCACATTTGACTGATCGGCTTTCTTCTTCGGGGGCGAAGAATCGCTGCAACACACCGGCGTCATAAGATAATCTTCTATCGAAAGCAATTTCAATATAATTTCTAGTTTTCGTAAGTATTTTCGTAAAAATAAATATTTATGTCAATTTCAATTACATGATAGAAACTCCAGATTAATTGTATTTAATAATATTTGTATTTCTAATCACAATGCATTTGCTGAACTCGAATGTTCTATTAAAATATTTTAATTATGTTCAATTGTGTAAAACAATTAAAATAACTTAACATTATTTCATAACTTTTTTTATAAAGATTAATATTTAATATTTTTATTTAAGATTTTCTAAATACTTACGTTTTGTTGTCGTCACCCTTCGTCTTCTTTCTTTCTTTCGCTTGCTTGATGCACTTCTGGAACTGCTCGTGAGCCTTCAACACTTGCCGGATGTCGGGGCTGAAGTCTTCCAGGAATTCAACCTTACGTTGCGCAAAAAGCACTCTTTGCTCAAGATCTGCGTGCTCTCTTTCTATAAACATATCCATGTAGCCTACTATTTCTTGAGTGTCAACTGGCGTTCGTTGCATTGCCAAATCTATTAATTGCAGATATAATCTGGGATTGTCTTTATCTTTATCTGTGGCCTGTACAAAAAAAAAAAGCCAAATAGCTTGTATTAATAGATATACATAAATATCGCTGAACACAATGTCGTCGTAATACATAGATAGACAAAGATTAATTTTGCATTTTAAACGTACCTTCATCAACACCTTAATTGCCTTATCAACGTCATCCTTGACTTTACACAAGAATCGTGCGTACTTCACGGCGATATTATTGGCGATCGTTCTATTCTTGCTATTGTTAATGTAATTTTCGTATAAAGTACACGCCTTCTCCAAGTCACCACGACGGCGTTCCAAGTTTATTCGCCGGTACGCCACTTGCAGCATATTTGGCAACACATTATCAATATTCTCTAATATGGCGGCAGCTTTCTCGAAGTTATCCTGACCCTCCTCAAAAATGGCCCATTGCAAATGCAAATTTGGTTTCTTTGGGTGATGTACCATACACGCTCTCGAGTACACATCTCGGATCTTTTCTGTGTTGTCTCCCTTCAGCGATTCCAAATAGCGCACAAACTGCACAAACGAAACGGAAAAAAAATCATTTATATTTATTATACATATTGTACGAGATAAGTTTTAAATTATATATGTTTAAAGTGACAAGAGTCAGTCTATATGTGATACAATATTATATTAATATAGATTAACATCTACTTACTCGCATCCAAAATTCATCATAAAGTGCACAAGCAATAAGACACCTCTCAAACAAGATGATTATTCGATTCTGATCCTTTTGTTCAATCTCGAAATCGAGGTACTCCTTCCAATTTTTCAACTGGCACCGTTCCAACGGTTTTACATGGAAATATGGTCTCTTTATCTGTCAATTACACAACATATACTTAGACTGTGAACCAATCGTTCTAGACCGTAAACTAATTTGAATTTTGCTACAATGTGAGATTAATTAATGAATCCAAATCTTTTAATTTGGAGTATACTTTTTTTTTTACTTACAACATAAAACATTGCAAAAGATTGACTTCTGTACTACAACGAATCCACATTTACTGCGCGATTAGGTAGTTCTAGAGCTATACAGTGAGGGATCGAAATGAGTGAGAACTTTTGTTCCATTTTACAAGAGCAGTGAAACATTTCAACGTACTGAAATTAGGAAGTCTCATTTTGCTAAATAACCATTCAAAGCGTGACTATAATGAGTACATATAATTATAACTGAATGTCACCGTACCCCCTCTTCGTACGACCATCTCGCTGCCACCGCGTTCACGTTCGCCTTGTGCATTTTGCGCCTGCTGCTAATAATCTTCTCACGTATGGCACGAGTCTCCTCGTCGGTGGGTGGCACCTCATGGGGTGGCAGTTCCTCACCGGGTGGCGCGTCATCGGCGGCCGATGCCGCGGTAGCGTCGTCTGATTTCAGGAGGGCCTTCACCTCGGCGCGTAGCGCGAGGAAGTCGTCCACGCTTAGGATACGATTCGGCAGGTTGGACGACACGAATTCCTGGAAGGCTTCGAAGTGGGAGGTGTAACCGAGAGTAGGTGTCGACAGCAAACGATCGTACAGTGCTGTCACTCTGCTCAAGCGTTTCCCCTCTGATTCCCATTTTATGTAGCTCTCCCAGAGACGATCCGACCTGTTTTACGTTCAAATTGTTATAACATATTCGTTTAATCTCCGCTAATTATTTATCAAAGTAGACCTTTATCGGTGCACTATTATATTATGCATTAGAGCTGGTGATTTGGTTCGAAGGCTTCGACATTCGAACTTCGAAGCTTCGAGGATTCGAAGCTTTGGCATTAAAATCTTTGAATTCTTTCAAAGCTTCGAGGTTTCGAAAAATACATTTGTGCAAATAATAAATTTATTCAGAAAATTTACAAATATTGTAAATAAAAAGAATTAATACATATACAAAATTATTTCTAAAAAATTGGAAAGTATTATAACCTGAAATATTACAAATTAATAATTTACATGTGCAAATAAGAAAAGATAATGATCAATAAAACAATCCAATTTCAAAAATTCGAATTTTTAATGTATTTTTCAAAATTTCGAAGCTTCGAATATTCAAAGTGAGTAAAGAGTAACAGCCCTATTATGCATTAACAGCTAATGCACTAAAGAAATAAATTGATCACTTTTTTTATGGACAATATAATACCACATAAGCTAATACGTGCATCTACAAATGTAAATCTAGAAAGAAAATTCTGGATTTCTTACCTGAACTCAAGCCCGCAAGCTTGTATGGCTCGCTCGTACTGCTCCCGAAGCTTGTCTTCATCTTTCTCATAGACGGTTTTACAGTGGTTGATGTAATGGAGCCAGAGATCGACGCTTAGCGAAATAGCTTTCAGACCTTGGTCGAACACCTGCGGTAATGGATTCATGGATCGTATTTAGAACAGTTTACAACTGGGTCGGCCTTATCGGCGGGTAGATCTTATACCTATTTTGCTTTTAGCTTTCGTTAAGCATTACGGTCTTTTTTTTTTGTTTTTTTTTTTTTAGCAACGTATACTCACATATCGTACGCGTACTGTAAATAAAGAGATTTAATTAACACAGAGATTGCAGAGCATTGTGCATTCACCTTAAAAGTCAGGGAGTGTTCCGATCTGGGCGCCACACTGTCTTCCGCCACTCTTTCTTGCTCCCACTCTGGCACGTGCACGTGTCCTAAGTCTTTGTCTCTGACATTGACTTAACACCCAACCCGACCAACATATCTTACTTACATTAAGTAAGAGTAGCGCATATATCTTATGCTTAAAGTTTTACAATACTTTCTGTAGTAAGCTATGTGTACAAATGCTTACAGTAGATATAACACAATTTTTTGTCTTTCACGATAAAAGGCGCTTCGGAAACAACTAGCCGTCCTCGCTCGACTTACGTATCGTACGATAGAGTACTTGATGTATTCGATATATCGGTAAGACAGTAAAATATGTAATATAGCATATTTTTGTAGGTATCGCAGGATATTAATTAAATAAGTAACTATTTTGTAAACGAAGAAAGTCGAATAGGTGCCGCAAGACGTGCTATGCTGTTGGAAGGGAAAACCATATTTATGTGCGTGCACACTGCCCACGCGTCTTCCTAACTCGAGCTAGTTTCATTAGATTGCGTTAATTATAATGATATCATATAATGAGAGATAGCCTAATGAACGTAATATACGATCGGACTCACCGTTTGGACATTTTCGGGGTTGCCCTTCTTCTTCTCGTAATCGGCGAACTTTCTCCAGTAACCGTAGCAATATGGATAACGCTCCAAGAATTTGGTGTAAGCTTCGCGTGCAGCCTCGGCATCGTTCTGTGATAAAAATCGAATGTCAGCTCCAACTCATTTAAAAGATCTCTGTACACGAATTCTCGATATTTCTCAAATGTTACCCGAATATATTTTAATTTGATTTAATATCAGATCAAGAATAATTAACACAAACTGAATCTCAAGATAAAATAAAATTTTTGAATAATCTTTTGATTGACTAACCTTGTGATATTCTTCAAATGTTACTCGAGTATATTTTAATTTAATTCGGTATTTTATATTAGATTAAGAATAATTAACACAAACTGAGTCTCAAAATAAAGCTTTAGAATAATTTTTTGATTGATTAACCTCGTGATATTCCTCAAATGTTACCCGAGTATATTTTAATTTGATTCGGTATTTTATATTAGATTAAGAATAATTAACACAAATTGAGTCTCAAGATAAAGTAAAGCTTTTGAATAATCTTTTGATTGATTAACCTCGTGATATTCCTCAAATGTTACCCAAGTATATTTTAATTTGATTCGGTATTTTATATTGAAACAAGAATAATTAACACAAACTAAGTCTCAAGATAAAGTAAAGCTTTTGAATAATCTTTTGATTGATTAACCTCGTGATATTCCTCAAATGTTACCCGAGTATATTTTAATTTAATTTGGTATTTTATATTGAAACAATAATTAACACAAACTAAGTCTAAAAAAAATAAAGCTTTTGAATAATTTTTTGATCGACTAACCTCTTGATCCACGTACTGTAAGAGATACGTCCACCCCGTAAAGTCAGACGGATCTTCATTAACGGCCTTCCAATATTTTTCTAGTTCGGGCAATGTTTTCTTTTTCGGCGACGCTGGCTTAATCTCTGGCTTATCTCCCACTTCCGCGTCAGTCGACAAGGCGACCTTCTTTGCTGGCGCCTCGTCATTGTTTTCAGACGTCGGAGAACTAGGATCGTATTCTCCTTCCGCGTTCAATTTACGTTTCGCTAAAAGTAGAAGGAACACGTAAGAAAATCGATTCTAGACTGCAAAATTTTATAGAACACACTGTAGGAAGGGTACTTACTTCCGCCTTCCACTTTGGTTTTCTTCTCCGGTGTTTTTATCGATTTCGCCCCGCTCTTTTTCTTCTTGTCGCTGTCCGGCGGTAATTCATCTTCCGACACGGACTCTGTTTCGCCCAAGTCTGCTGGAGCGGCAACCGGCAATTCCTCGTCGGAAACTGCTTCGGTCTCTGGTTCCTGTACATTAAATTATTTAATGCATTGAAATATTAAAATTATTTACGCTATCCATCCACAAATTATTATACCAAAAAAATTGAAAAAAATACATTAATTGTGTATCAAAAATGAGAATCTAACGCTTCTCACCTTGGCCGTGGCTTCGGTCGGTAACTCGTCCTCAGACACGGCCTCCGTGTCGGGCTCGATCTTCTTCGCGTCATCCTCAGTGATGTATTCGTGTATCTCCTCGTTTTCAGCCGCGGTTATTTCTATGCGCGGCAAGGAATCACTCTGCGACACTTCCATGTCGGGTTCTTCCACCTTGCCCATCACCGTGTCCGCATCCTCTGACATTCCTTGCTGCGAATCTTCAATTTCCATAACCTGAATCCTCGTACCGGTGTGCGCGGACATGCTCTCTGAATCAACCTCCTCCTCCTCCTCGTCCTCCTCCTCCGCCTCTAGGATCTCTTGCGTCATTGTGTTGCCGTCTTCATTGATAACTCCTTGAAAGTCTATCAGCACGCGTTGCTGATTCGAGTCATCGTTGCTGACGTCCTGATCCTCCATCTCGATGTCTCCACGTTCAGCCAGCATCTCCACCTTGTCCATGCTGCTGTCTTCCATAATTATGCCCTCTGACCTTATATTGGAATGCCGCTAAAATAAATCGAGTTTTATGTGAAATACAATATAATAAAAAATGATAAAATTATAACACGGTCTTTTTTCTCTAGAGTTTAACATTAACAAAAAAACAAAAACAAAAAAAGAAAGTGAGAAACACTGCACATATATTATTTACCATGTCTTCTACATCTTGCTCCAGTTCTTCGTTTTGACTCATACTTATTTCGTGTATATTAGTGTCATCAGAGTCCTCCAATTCCAAATGCAACATGGGAGTGTCTTCCTCGCTACGTTGCTCCACAATGACATCCGTTAAACGTTGAACTCCGTTCTCAGGCATACTTTCCATCATGGCTTCTTCTAGTGTAGATGTAGTCTCTTCCTGTAATTACAAGTCAATTGTTTAAGAACCATTTCCTCTATATATTATTTTCCACAAATCGATTATTCAAGTATACATTGATAGCATATCATAAGAAAGGCAATACTGTCGCAACTATTTAATATTTCAAGTAAATAAACATTATTTTATATCATTGCTTCAATAAAATCTATCCAATTAATGAATTGTTTATTCCTCTTTAGACGGCAACTCCAATACATTCGAATATACATTGATAACATATCATAAGAAAGGCAATACTGTCGCAACTATTTAATATTTCAAGTAAATAAACATTATTTTATATCATTGCTTCAAAAAAATCTACCCAATTAATAAATTGTTTATTCCTCTTTAGACGGCAACTCCAATACATTCGAATATACATTGATAACATATCATAAGAAAGGCAATACTGTCGCAACTATTTAATATTTCAAGTAAATAAACATTATTTTATATCATTGCAAGACGGCAACTCCGATACATTCGAATCAAAGGAAAATAAACAGAAAGCCAGACTGACGCTCCGCTACTCTGCTTCGGTCTTATTGCCAGAAGATGAGGATCGTATCAATCGACGATGACGTTAATCCGTGTCAGCGCAACCGGTTTCGGAAGGTTTCGACCCTTACCTCAACCTCCTCGATCTCCTGGATCTTCCTCGGGGAGCGTGTCGCCCGGGCGAGGAGCTTCTTCACGGGTGACTTCTTGGCCACCACCGCTGTTTTTCGGGCTCGACCAGACCTGGTGCGTCTCACTGGAAAACATAACGACGAAAGTATTTATAAACGCTCGGAGTGCACGAGACGCCGCGTCGTCGAAATGGCGGTCTCGTAGGCTGGGCGGCCGCGCCGGGCGGCACGTCCTTGGGCGACGAGCGATTTCCCCGGCAACGACCTGACGATCGATCGCGAGAGGACGATCCGCACGTTACGCGCCTCTCCCTTTACCTGGCTCGGCCGGCACGAAGTCGGCCTCGTCACCGCTCGCTGAAGACATCGTGCTCACACGCTGCAATCTCCGGAATGTAAAGCAAACACGGAACCGCCAGACGGAAAATGGCGACGCGAGGCGCAATCGGGCGCAAATGCTCCGAAACCCAGGGCTACCAATCGCAAAAACGCAGTCTCGTCAAAATCGGCGCGATTATTCGCGCGCCCGTCCTGCCCCCGGCGTTTTCGAAACACAAAACACGTCGACATCGTGAAACCTGCATTACCGACATTAATAGGTATATAAATACATATAGCCGGTATATTTTTTTAAAAGAATCAGTATTTACTACTTTTAACGCAAATTTGCAGTTTTACGATTTCTACATAAATGCGAGATTCCCTTAGAACATATGTTACATATATTATATGTTCTAAGAAAATTCCACATTAGCGTTGGATGGAAAAGATTTTTAAAAATGAAAAACAATATTTTAAGAATTGAAAAAGAAACATGAGCATATTCGTCTTCTATATAAAAATTGTATTTTATATTACTTTGCTATACAAAAAAATATTGTTCACTATAATATAAATACATAATGTAAATACATTTTGCAAACAATCTGCAAGATTTGCGTAAATTCCAAATGAATAGAAGCAATCAAGTGGGACATAAATCAAGAAGTAAATATAAAATAAAATATGTATATAAAATAAATTTATTAATAATTATATTAATCAATGGAATTATTTTAGAAACGAGAATTAGGCCAAAATAAAGCAGCACGTTAATATACATAGAAAGGAAAGAGGAAGGAAAGATTGAAGATGAGACGTGACTCAAATGCGATAAAATTCTTTTGTTGATGTAACAACAAAAAAATAAGGAAAAAAAGAAGAAAATGGTAGATTTAAACTCAGGACGAACAGGAAGAGGAAGATACTGCTTTATATATATAAATTGTGTGGAAGTTTATCAAGAGATTTATCAGACTATAACGATAATGAATGATAATTTCAGTTGATTTCAATAATCAGACGATGCTCTCAAGATACCTGAAAAAGTAAATAAAAACATGTTCAAAGTCTCATTCCTGGCTGAATTAGAAAAAGAATCGTCAGAAAGCAATTCGGAGAGCGAAAAGTCAGACATAAAAAGAAACGTATAAAGAAACGATTCGAAAATACATTTAGGATATTACATACATGAAGGATATTATATAAGGCAAAAGCATTTAAAATCGGGACACAAGACGTCTTCTTGTTAATTATATAAGACGTTCCGAAGAATTTTTAACGTTCCAAGAATTTTTAAGACGTCTTAATGTTCTCTGGATTATATTATACATATCGTTCTATGTACACATACATATATGTTATACGCGAATACTTGATCTAGTTGTGCAAGCACGTTATCACAGCGTGACACGAAGGGTTCAACAAGTTCACAGCTTCAGCCTCTTGATGTCCTCCGGTCGGAAGTCTATTCTCAGGGAGGCGATACGGCGCACTTCCGACGGCGTTAGTCGCCACGCTATCGCGTCCGCGCCGCAGTAGTCGGCCAATTCATCCACCTTCTCTATACTCAGAATAGTCGCGATCTGCGTTAAACGCGCGAATTTGTCCCTCACCGACCAAGACGTGGCGGCTGCCAGGTAACTGGCTAGCGATCTTATTTCCTTGTCCAGTATCAGACCTCCTGCCTAAAATGCACAGATTTTATTCCATTGTACTACGCACGAGAAATTAAATTAATATTTATAACCACAGATATTGTATATGTATATGCAAGAAATTAAATTAGAAATTATCCCCAATAGAATTATTAATGATAAAAGAGATTAATTACGAGAGAGAATCGCTTAAATTTAGTGCACACGTACCCGATTAAAGGTCGATTTCAAAACCACCTTTTCCAAACGGGCCGTAACTTCCGCGGTCAGAAGTCCGATAAGTGCGTCGTAATTGGAAGTCGTCAGGCTATCCTTGAATCCTCGAAGTAGGCCCTCTAGGTTCATGATTAACGTCTGCACGAATGGCTCATCCGTTTCGTATCTCAATAATTCGTCCTGCGTACGAATTATTCGTTATACATCTAGGGACACAAAATCTATTGTTTCTTGCAAAATATACCTCGTTGATATGATGATCTATGGATAGAAATGCATCGAGCCACGGGGTGACTCTGGGCTTCACGGCGCTGACGCGTAACTGTTCCAGGCCGCAATCGATGATGCCTCGCAATATCAATATGACTCCCTTTAGACTGGACAAGCAGCTGTCAATTTTGCCTCTATCCTTATTCTGCATGTTGGGAAACGTCGCGTCTATCTCCGCACCGAGACTTTTGCACAATGTTTCCACATACTCCGTGCTCACGTCGGTGTTATTTAGGTATGCCTAATTAACAAATAAATATGAAAATAAATAACAAATGAATATGAATATAATAAAACTGTTTAGCAATATACTGCCCACACAGCATGAAATATTTCTTGTGATATCATTTTTTGAAATGTTTCAGAAATATTTCGTAAACATTTATAAAACTTTTTAAATTGTTACGTTAAAATATTTCACAAAAATTTTAAATTAAATAAATTATAAGAGGCACAGAAACAATAGAAATAAAGTCAATAACAGCGCTGGTGAGCCAAGCTGGGTGTATATGATAATATGTTTACATTACAAACATCCCGCTTGACCTAACAGTATCACATAATGATATCACAAGAAATATATATATATATATATATATATATACACACTGCGTACATATATATGGGTAATGTGATGTGAGAACACTGCGTACATATATATATTAAAGATCGATTTCAAATATATACTCACTGGCAAAATAAAACCGGGCACCTAGATTTTAGTAGGTGCCTGGTTTTTTTACCGTTGAGTATATATAGTTTAAAATGTATGATTTTACATGCTATTTGTTACACAATTTCTTCTCTCAATTTAATTTGTGTTATACATAGATGGTCGGAATAATATATATATATGTATAACACAAATTAAATTGAGAGAAGACCAATACGGTCATATAGCATCTTGGTGCTTCTAATTTAATATTTCTATCTGCGATTTTATATACATATTCTAGTTTCAACGAATGTAATGTACATGTAGAATCACGTAGAAATATTAGAAGCACCAAGATCCTGCTATACGGACCGTATTGGCCTTCTTTCAATTTAATAGATTTTAAAAACTGTACCAAGAACATAAGACGGGCGCATTCTGTGTCCGACGTTTGCAAACGACCGTGCTGTATGCTCGTCTGGAGGGCACTGTACGCTTGCGCCAGGTCCAGGTAGCCCGCCGGATAGCCCTGCCGCAACCTGTTTCTCAATCTGTTCGCAAACTCGCCCTCCAAGATGCCGCAAGCCATATTGACGACAGCGCAAACGCCGTCTATGCTCCAACTCGACATAGCCCGTCTGCAGAGAGACGTTACGTTCACTATAATTTTCAATAATATACATACCGGCTGCACAAATCTGGCCGACATATACCGTACGCATTTCTGCACGATGAAAAATACATCGTCGACCATGCTGGAGGTTTGCTGATCTGGATCCAGTGCGTCCATTCCCAGAGCCTTGTTCACGCTCTCCTCGAGAAAATATCTCTCCAACGCGAGATAGGCACCAAGCAGCTCTTGCATGCCGTGCGCCAATTCGGAGTTGTTTATCGTCATTTCAAATTCGTTGAGCAGCTCCGCACGCTGCGCCTCGTCTGTAGTACTGATCTCTATGTCGTTCTGCAAAACAAGCAACATGTAAATGCAATCACTAATTTCTTATGTATTACAAGATTGACAGGTCAATAATTTTTTTTACCTTAACCCTTCTCTTCAAGAAACGTATGTAAAGCTCTGCCCTCGAGTGCATTATAGTAATTTCTCCCAAGAGAAGATCGAGCTCCTTAGGATCGATCCTTTCGGAACTCGGTTTTCGCAGATACTCATTAATCATTTGCACGTTCTTGGATATGCATCTGTGTTTCGTAAATACTGTAACGATCTTCTTGACCTGCCTATTTGTAAAAAAAATATGATTTTTTAAAATACTTCTTTTAGAGTCTACAAAATCTGATAGACAATTTATTGCGCGTTCTATTCTCACCTGTCGCACTCCTTTTGCAAAATCGAAATTGTCATTAGCAGCCGACCAGGACCGTAATAAGTCTCGATGATCGGTTGATGCACTTCCACAATACGTGCAATCCCTTCGAATAAGAGAGTCATGGTGTCAGCAAAAATAACAGCTGCCCTCTTGTCGTTACTTTTGATCTCAAGCGCCGCTTGCAGATTCTTCTGTGCGGTCTCGTGTAGCTAATATAAACAAAAAAGTAAAAGATAGTGCCGTCTTTTTCCAATAAAACTTTGACAGATATCAATACACAGTCAATATCGCACGTTACCTTGGTACACAAGTAACTGCAAAACTTCTTTAATCCCTCCAAGTGCATCCCCAACAATGGAAATATCTTGAAGAATCTCTCGACCGATGCCAGATCCTCCGATTTCACAGCTTCGTCGAACTTATGCGTGACAACGGCCCTCAATTCCATCGCGGCCTGCTGCAAGGTAACCAGGGAACTGCTAATACTGGTGTGATCTCCCGACACGTCCTCGGCCGTTCTCTCCAGCAGTTGCTGGTCCATCGCCAAGTAGCGATGAACGTGCGCGGCACCCTGCTCGTAATCCTCATTGCGCAGCGCGGTCGCTACCCCTTCGCTGCACAATTGCAAATCCAGTATATCATTTATTCTACTTTGGCACTCGCACACTCTGCTCTGTGAAACAGAATTGTATCGTTTAAACGATGAGAAATCGAGATCCAAGAAACAAAGGCGTTTCAACAGTCTGGCAGCTTACTCTCGCCAAATCCAATTGCCTCACTTTAGCGCTGACATTCTCGGCTAACTCATTGGTACGAGCGATCATGTCGCAAAACTTCTCCCCCTCCGTTCGTATCAGTACAACATTCGGCAGTACCTTGCCGATACTCTGCAGTTTCGCCTCCACGTGACACCGTCGGGCGAGAATCGTGTCCAGATTTTTCTTTATGGCGACCTGTCGTTAAAATTTACCTTCTGTTAAATTATACGAGAGAATATTTGCAAGTCACAATACGTGTAATGCTACTTCTTTTTAGTGACGCGGCACAACAGATCTCGAGAAGAGAATTATAGGAAAGAATTTAATCGGAATATAATTCGTAGAGACTTCTACCGCCTGTAAAACGTCAATTGAAGATTAATATGCGATTGCATTTCGAACCTCATTTTCGGACAGCTTGTCCAATGTTTGTTGCAGATTTTCCTCGTTCACCGGCAGATCCATGTTATCGGTAGATCAATTAATTGGCGACTCGACCACTTTATTTTTATTTACGGCACTTGACATTTCCCACACGTCACGTCATGCCCACGTTGTCACTATCACATTTGTAAACAAGAATGAGGACACTTTCCTCCTAACCTGCAGCAAACTTGTCCGAAGCATTTTGTCCAATTTGATGGCACGTCACATGCATGTACGTCCCTGGCTGTCTTTGCGAACGCCCAGAGAACATGCCCGCGGTTCTGTCAAAAGCCGATGCTTTTGCAATGAGTTTTACACGCGAATCGCAGATTATCGCCGAGTCCGCACTCCGCCGGGCGCCGATATCGATACATTATTGTAGCTGCCGGAGTAGCTCCGAAGAAACGTAAATATTATGCACAAGCCTAGAGTATTTCAATTATCAATTTCAATAGTTTTGTAAAATTGTTGAATATTGTGATCAATATATGGATTAATTGTGTAACGCGATTATAAAAAGCATTGAAATCATCGAAATTGCCACGAAATTGTGCATTTCGATATAAAGATAATTCCGAAAATTAAAATTCTCATTAATAGATGTTCCGGATGTTCGTGCTTTGACTTTAGTTTGATTTCCTATTTCAGAGATTTGATCAACGAACTGAGCTAGCTAGAGAATCATACATACAAATTTAATGTAATATATCATATTGGATTTGTAGAGCGAATAATCGATTTAGTAATTTAAGAAAATCTGCAATTATATAAAATATATTAACGAGATTACAACAAAATTTGCAAGAAACTTTATAAAAATTCACCAAAATTATCGTGGTTGCAATTCATATTTTTATTCTCAAAATTTTTTAAAATCTTTAATTCTATAAAAATAATTAACGTAAATTTTTTATGAAATTCTAAAGAATTAAAAATTCTCTAAAATTTCAAGAATAAAAATTCGAATATTGGAGCCCACGTTAATTTTTAGAGAATTGAAGATTTTACAAAATTTTGAGAATATAAAAATCTGAATTGCAATCCGCGTCGCTAATTTTAGAGAACTGAATTAGATAATTGTATATATTTTCTTAATCGGGGTAAAATAAAATTACATTTTTAACAGAATTTCCATGAGATATTTTCGATCCGTCGAAGCGCTTTTGCATTTAATTATCTTCACGCATGGCCAGTTTTTATCGACACTGAAAAGAAATCGAATGCATGAATGACAAATTTGCCAGAGTTTTTGCGGACAAAAGAAAGCCCTAGCTGACTCGTATGGTGAACATTGCCGCGTGTCGTCCGCGTCGGCCAATGAGCGGCGCGCCTGCTCGCGTACCACGTGACGTTTGCCCGACGCCGGACGCGCCGCGCCGCTTGGGGGTGGGGGACGGGCAAGGAGGGTGGTCGGGCTTCGCTCGCGCATCCTATACGCCGTACGCGTACGTAGCCCCGTACGGAAAATGGCCGCCAGCTGTCACTCGCCTGCGAAGTGTGGCTTGTTGTGAAGGAACGCGGACTCGTCGCGGAACGGCTTCTCCGAGCGCGCAGCACGCCGCGGGGGCGCGATGCAATTGCAATTGACGACACGCGACTCGCTGGCTGAGATTCGCACGGGAGATCGCCGTGAGTGAGGGGAAAAGAGAGAGGGAACGAGCGCGAGCGAGCGACGGTGGAGAGGAAAGAGACGAGAGAGAGAGAGAAAGAGAGAGAAAAAAAGGGAGCGGGGAACGCGAAAGTACGAGTGTGCAGCGCGACTGCGATCCCCCCGTGACGGTTGCTGCTTCCAGGGTGCCATGAGAGCGCGGCCACAGACTCGGCTGTTTACAGTTTCCGTTTTACGTGAAGTGCGCGGCTGAAAGTCTGTCCGTCCGCGCGTTCGCGGTAACGCGGCCGAGTCGTCCGCCACCACCGCCGCCGCCGCCGCCGCTGCCGCCACCTCCTCCTCCTCCTCCTCCACTACCACTTCGATCCACTCGCGAATCGGTCTAGCACAGCCCGCGAGGCTCCCCGATACTTCTCGTCCCGCGTGACTGCCGCGAAACAAGGCCTTGGGGTTTCTCTTGATTCGATCGTTTTACACCACCCCTCGTGGAAATAGTCAAGGTAAGTCTTTCGTCTGGTGCTAGCGTTCTATGGATAACCTTTCGGGTGCTGCCTCGATTTGTGTGTTGACGGTCGTCTAAACCTCTTGCTCCGTATACACAGCGATACTTATCTATATCTCGTGTTACTTCTTTTTTTATGGAATTTTTTTTAGGAATGATCGACAGTGTTCTTTGTATGTACACACGTACATACATTTTTTATGAGTATCGAATTTTTTGTATGTAGTTCGTCAATAAATACATTGTTATCATTGTTACGATTAACATAGAGTTAAGATAATTATGTAGTGAATACAGATATGCATACATTGCTGATTGTCTCTATTTTAATGTCATTTAATTGAAATTTGCATATTTTTTTATTAAAATCAGTTATATAAATTTCTATTGTGAATCCATGCAATAACTTAGCCTTTTTTTTTATGTTCAGGAAGCAGAATGGGTTCCAGCCAACAGTTTTCTCTCAGATGGAACAATTATTTAAAACACATCACTTGTGCTTTCGACACATTAAGGACAGATGAGGATCTCGTGGATGTCACTCTGAGCTGCGAAGGCAAAAGAATTAGGGCACATAAAATGCTTCTGTCAGCATGTAGTACATATTTTAGAGATTTATTTAAGGTACATGCATATACAATTCTGGTTGATCTATTCACGTCTAAATTTATGCGTACCTAAAGAGACATTTTTTTATAACAATTATTTGGTATATTGCAGGAAAATCCGTGCCAGCACCCCGTGATAATATTCCGTAATGTCAAATTCGATGACTTGGCTGCCTTGGTCGATTTTATGTACCAAGGCGAAGTAAACGTTGTACAAGAACAGCTAGCGAGCTTTCTCACAACAGCAGAGCTCTTGGCGGTGCAGGGCCTTACGGATGGCACAGGGAAAGATGATAATCTAGTAGAGGTGAGTTATTGGCACATAGGAACGATGCAAGAATTACTCAGTTTAATAGGCACATGTTTACTACTACTACTATTATTTATTGACTGCTTGAAAAGCTATTATCTCTGATTTTGTTAAATAATTTTAATAGAAAAATAGTAAATTTCTTCAACTTTTATTCTGGAGTTTTTTTTAAGTTTATTTATCCAGAAATGTGTTCACACATTGTGCTTTAATGCAGAACACGATGTCATATATTAAAAAACTTTGAACAAATTAAAAGAACGAGGATCTATTTCAAGAGAAAATATGTGAAATGATTTGGGATTGAAGATATGAGATCCCGCAGATATAAGTTGACCGCTTTTACGCGGAGGAATACTTCATTCCATGATTTATTTATTATTGTTATTATTTGAAGATTTCTGTCCTTCAGAACGATACAGTACATACTGCGATTCGTTATCTGTCAGTTAGCTTGGAATTATTTCTCAAGTTTCGAATATTTTATATTTCGATGGAATATTTTTTCACTAAAAAATCCTAGTATATCCTAGTAGATGACAAATCCGGAAATTAAATTTAAATCTTTGATAGGCCACTTCTTCAGCACTGATTAATTCGACACCTTACTTATACGTCATGTTACTTTTTTTTAGGATGACATAGAAATTCCCAACGAGCCTGAAGTTCAACTGCAGAACACTTCCGGTAAATCGTCGAGTGATAACAAGAGGAATAAGTCCCCGTCGTCTCCGATGCCATACCATGCCGTCGAATTGCAACCCGAAGTGCCGCCGAACAAGAGGAGAAAAATTCGAGAGAGTTCGAATGTGAACGCGGAGAAGAACTCGGCGGGGATCAACGCGAAGGATTCCGACGGGAAGACGTCGGAAAATCAGTCGGGGTTGGGCTCGGATCCGGTCGAGATAATTCCCCTTATGCCGAACTTGAAGCTGGAGATGCCGGAATACCTGGAGCAAGACGGTAGCAGTTGTAGTTACGAAGATCAGAGTATAGGCGACAATACGCTGAATAAAATCGCCATAGACGACACGTCGTCGACTACCCCCGATCACGAACAGAAGCTCGACATTAGTCAGACATTTTACTCGAGTCAGTCGACATCGGACGGTTTGGACGGCAAACATCAGTCAGATGTTGGTAGGTATCTACGCGATAATTTCTAGAATTCGCTGAAATATTTTTTATCTCATTCATCTTAACCCTCTACCCGGAACACCCCTGGATATCCGGTTACACGGAACACCCCGTCATAATGACCGCTATTCCAGAAAAACACGAGTTTTATTAATTTTTTGAGGGGATATTGCACTTAAATTCCATCAGTCTTCCACTCTAATAAACAATCAAATAACGAAAAATATATATCTGAAAACTTGAACCTTAGTGGTCATAATGATCGATATTCCCGCGGTCAGAGGGTTAATCAGTTGTCAGTTTTCGCGCAGTTTGATGATTCTTTTTTGTCTGTCAGGACACCTGCTATCTAAACCAAGTACTTCGGGAGAGAGGTCATCACAGGAGGTACAGGGTAAGTGATTATTCATCCTTTTTTATTACTTGCAAATTACATAATATGTGTTGTTTTGCCATTACAATGTAATCACAACATAGAATTGCAACAGTTTCAACGTATTAATAGTTACAATTAATTATAGATCGTTCAAATTAGTCATTCATTTAAATTAAAATTTGAAAATTAGCATTCTTAATTAAAATTATAATTTGAAACAAATAAATCGCAAATTTAGAAATTGTAATATATGGGAACAGCAAATTATCTTTATTTAAATTTGGTATTTTAATAAAAATCTATTGTTATTCATGAATTCGTTTATGAAATGTTTTATATATGTATACACACACATACAAACACAGCAGTAATGTGACGGTGTAATGGTAATACAACAAACTTCTTAGTTTTGTATCCACATGATCCACATACTTAGATATACGTTTGCAATCTTTTAATATTTAAAATATATGCGTCTACCTGACTTTAATTGGATATTAATACATAAGAAAATTGTTTATAGACATTAGTTTCAATTATATAAAACTACTCTGTGGTACACAAACCTGCATTCTAACTTCATTGGTGATGGATTAATTGCATGTTACTGTGGGTACAAAACCAAAAACGATAAGATGATAAACACCTTGATACATGAAGCATTAGTATTACTTGGGAGTTACTTGGTTTCATGGATTAAGGTTCTGTGTCATTCACAATTATTTTCGATTGCAATAAGAAGGAAGACGGGATTCCTTCCTATTGCGATATTGTGACCTATTACGTTTTGAGGGGTAGTTAGTTGATTGCGTTTTCACATCAAACTGTACGATGGTTTGGTAGCTATGCAGCTTTGCATTACCTATACACGCACACAAATGATAATTAGAGGAAGAGATTAGGTCAAATCCACACAAAGACAAAATGATGTGTAAGATTTGCAGTGAAATGGTTTATTATTACTTTGCAAGGACGAGTATTTCAAGAGAAAATATCTCGGATCTTAATCACGATCTTTCCTTCACGTGGACCTGGTTCTCACTAGCACGAAAAAATGTATTTCAAGACGATAAAGAACCGATAACATTTTTTCACAATTTTACAAAAATGGCATCACATTTGGCCCTGTATTATCGTTATTGAAACTAAAATTAACTTTTTTTTGCAATGCTCTGTGAAATACTGTCAATTGTTATTTTCTCTTTGACCTGATTATTCTTGCACTATTAAATGGAATCAGGTTCGCAATCTTATTGCTAAGCAAATTTCTAAACATTAATGACAATCGATGTGTACATTTCCCTGTCTTGTTACGGGGAAGACTACTTTTTATTATTTCCATCGATTTATATATCGAGATTTACCTTCAATGTACAGAGTGCATGGTGTTTTGGATGTAAATGTATGGTACAGGCACTCGGGTGTAGGTTGAACTGTAGATACTAGCAAGCATTGCCAAGTGCTGTATGTGTGCCGACAATCATCAACATTCCTTTTTTTAATAACTCGATCAAAGCCACCACTATATTCCTTATGCGCACTAACTATTAAGCATACTGTGTATATACTAAAATAATTAAGGAATACCTTTCGATACTGGTTCGAGGCAACTTCTTTAAAAAATAGTAATTGTAAAAATATTTTAATTCGTGTGTACAGCGCGAATTCATCTACACAAAACACGCACTCACACACATACACACACACACATACAACACGTGATTTTTGCATGTAACGTTAATCGTAAATACGCGTATCAATTTTTAAACGTTTGAACGAAACACTGCGAATCAAATTTATAGAATTAGTATTTGCTGCAAGTTTTTTTTAGCGAAATTTATTTTGGGGAAATTCGATCAATATGATCGAATACGACATGTTACAATTTGAAAAAACTTACTATAGTTTTCTTTATAGTAATTTATGTTTTAATGAAATAATTGTGCTCTCCAATTCTCTCTTAAATATCATTGTTTCGATAAATTCAGAAGACTATGTTTCGATGAGGAGAGCGCTTTGTTTCAAATTTATTTTATTTCAATTGAACAGTGCAAGATACAGACTTATGAACCTAAATCTCTAGTTGAAGATATTCCAAGATAATTTTAACGGAATCATGCAAGAAAACAATATTTATGTACATATAATTTATGAAAATTATCTGGGATATAATTGCGAATTTCGAGTACTCTTCGAATCATCCGAGCTCCCTGCGATCGTAATGGTCGCTGCGTCCGGATCAGGCTCATATTAATGTTGAGATATTAACTTGCAGAATGTATCGTTATTCTATCGCGGGATATACATTCGCGCAGATACGAACTAATTCTGAAGTAGTCAGGTGGTGGTGGTGCTCTGGTGACAGTGGCATGCGCGTGCAATCTTTCCTTAATATTTGGTAATTTAAGACCAATTCTTTCCCTCCTTGTACGAAGCAAAATTCCATATGGTAAACGGATGCGTATGGGAAATACAGCGATCAGGGTTGGATCGATATTCCTCTGGAATCCGTCATTTCCAGCATTCTCTGATATTCTGATTCTTGATATTAGTATCCCAATAAGGGAATAAAGTTTTAGAAAGATTGATACTGATCATAGATATTTTCACATGATTAAATGGAAAATCCCGAAAATTAAAAATGGATAAGCGTCAACAGTTGCACATAAAGTTGTATCAAGGTAAACAGATATTTTCGGATTATTTGTTTAATATTTGTATTTTTATGGTTTTGTTTATTAAATAATAATTACACATACATAAAAGAAGATGGATGAAGAATAAATCTTACAAAATCGAGAGTAATAAAAACGAAACTTATAATTCGATATTGATTCGTTATAAATAAATTTTTTTATTTCTTTATATTCTACTGATAAATTATATTAATGTAAATTTATTTAAGAAATAATTATCTTTGTGCGTCATACTTTTTCCACTTTGTTGGAATATTTTATGTTCATTGTCAATTAATCGCATGTACATATCTGGATTAAAATCAAACGACAAAATGCATAAAATGCATAAATCGAAAATAGTGATGGATTTCGGAAGATTATCGATTATCCGATATATTTTCTTCGAGAATCTCTAATAAAATCTGGGGATTGTGAACGTATCTTGACCCGATCCGAAATTCTTTGGTTGCAAATATGTATATGGCCGGAGAAAGAGTGAAAAGAAAGACAGAAAAGAAAAGAAAAGAAATAAGTGTTTCGACAGGTAGGTAATACAAGATCTCAGCAACGATCGCTAAAGCAGAAGCATGAGTTCTTCTAGTAGTTTCACGATGACATCAAAAAGCTTGTTCCTTCATTTCAAGTGCTAACGTTATTATCGTTCGCGTAAAAACGTCGTTAACGTCTCCGCGTAACGTGACCCGTTGCGTCTCGCCTACGAAGTCGATTCGTCACGTGGTCTTTTTTCCGCCTACTGAATACCATGAATTTATCTATGAGAACGAAGTTGCGGTATTAATCGAACAATACGATACCTTGGATATGAAATATTTAGTCAACTAATGTGATATTAAAAAGAATAAATTTCTAATCTACTGCCATATCTATAAAGTTCATAACACTGGGCTCGCTTGTCTTTATCTCGCGAGGAGATAGAAACAGACGCCACTTGATAAATTCTAGATCGAAATTGATTGCAACGGAATTTTAGATCAGTCGCAGCTTGGGAGTAGGAGGACATTGACGTGTCCTGCAGTTGAACAGTTGCACAGTTGCTTCCTACTTCCATATTATTTCTTCATCTCCAAGATATTGAATTGTTCTCAAAAGTTGTCCCGTCGACACGCGAGTGTCTCGCCGACAGTTCTGGTGGCTGTCGCGGGATTTGCGTTGTCGAAAGTCACGATTCAAATTGAGGGAAAAAATATGATGAACGTACTGAGAAACGGACGTTGAGTGCTTGTGTGGAAGTTTGCGTTTCGCATTTGGAAGAGAGTGAAACCAAATTCGTACAACCTCATCCTCGTCGCAAGACGAGATACTACGATGAATTCTAAAGATAAAGAGGCGATCGACGCCGTCTTTTTGTTCGCGACAAAAGCGGACCCCTGCGGCCGGGGATATCGATCTCCCGCAAATTGCGCAGCAGGAGGTCGACGAAGCCCCAACCGTCGAGAGACACGGGAGGCTGGGATAACGCGAGCGTCCCGAGCAATTACGTGCAATCAGCGTCCTCGTTTCAGCGTCATCGAAAAGAGCACGAAAAAGGCACATTTCCCCTCTCGAACCGCAGAAGGTTTCGTTGTGGTGGCCGACGGGCGGAGAAGGCAGTCTTCCTCAGAAGCTCCTGCGACGAACAATGAAACTAGATAGATCACTCGAATGACAGAGAGAAGGCGATCTAAATTATCTCACGACTATTTCCGCCATTGTACAACAATTTTGCTGATAGATATCTGTGAAAAGATTGAAAGATTATTTCAAGGGAGACGCAATTGGAGACGACCCGGAAGCGCTAATTCTCGTGCGTCCATCAATCTCTCCACGTGTCCTTGTATCGATCAAAGGAGAACTCGATGACTCGCTCCATCCCGAGCAAGCTTAGAATAGCCAGTTGATTACAATGTAAAGAAGTTCGTTGTGTAAGTTCTCTTCCGGAGAGGCACGGGGGAAAAGGCTATATTGGAATACAGAAGCCCGCGCATTGAAATCTATAGCACGTGGCGATGCCACCGTTATACCGCGCGAAACTCGCGTCGTGACTCGCGCGATGTATAGCGACAACCGCGAATGACGAAGGGCGCACGAATGGTGTTAGTGAGATCGCCGACGAGAACACGCACTCTGTAGACACGGCTTTCTACCGCTGCTGCGATTGTGGGATTGTTGTGGTTGGTGCTGGGGGTTGGTGCTGCTGCTGATGCTGTCGCTGCTGGTATACCGTCACGGGTTTTTTTTATTGTTACCCCGGTGGATGATGTATACGGGGAAGGTCTCTCTATATTTTTTACTTCCCATTATTGCATATAACTAACGGTTGCCTGCATGCCCCCTACTACC